GGGCTCAAGGTCAGCAGTGCAAATGCACAGCCTGTTTGGGCCCACTGGGACTGTGTGGAGCTATGGAGAGAGGAAATGTAACCCCTACCCCTTGAGCAAGGTGTGTTGTGCTGGGACACGATGCCTATGTTTGCTGAGAAGCTGGATGCAGTACAGGCATGTGGGCCCCCGGCTACAATCAGGACTCACCCGGGCAATCTCTGCATAGGCCAGCCCTAGGATCCCTTCCCAGTTGGAGCCATTGATGAAGAATTTGTCTGACTCCGTGATGGCAGCAATGTTGGCTCTGACAGTGACGTTGGGGCCGTGGGGGATGGTGACAAGGTCAGTGCCCAGCTCCCCTTCCCACTTGCCCTGGGTGTAGGGCACATACACACCCTTCCGCAGGTCACGGTAGGTGCTGGACCTGGAATGGCATCAAAGAGAGTAAAACCACTGCAGAGGAGACAGTGACAAGCAGAGCACACGCATAATAACCAAGCATTACAAGTGCACAGCCCTGTCCAGCCTGTGGGTCAGCATGGCTGTGTGATGACACTACATATCTCTGCCTGTGCAGCTGTTGGAGAGTCCACAGAGGGTCAGGGAAGCACAAGGACAGTGCCTCGCAGCCTGGGGTGAGGCAGTAATAGGGCACACGGGATAACTGTAGCTGTTGTATGCTATGCAAAACAGCCAGCAGCACAGATATGGGCTGCTTAAATGTTGTCAGATGGTGGACTGGCAGCTGAGGGCTCCCCTGCTTCTATAGGCACAAGAAGGGGCCATCCAGATCTACCTGAGGCTGAGCAGCATTACCTGTGCCAGCCCAGGACTTAGGGCCATGTGTGGCCAGACCCAGCGCAAGACAGACCACACCATCACTGGAGGTGAGCCACAGGCACAAGGACCAGTGGCTGTGCTGTTTTCCCCCAGCGCCTGTCCCCACAGAACTCACAGCTGCCGCTGGTAATATCTCCGAAGAAAGGGGTGAGGTGCAGCTCCCACAGCAAAATTACTGCTCCCAGTGTCCACCAGGATATTGAGCTGGAGAAGGAAGAGACAAGGAAGGTTTGTGACTGCAGTAGAACTCAGGCTGCACTGTGCACCCAAGTCTGCGTGGCATTGCAGGCAAGCGATGCTTTCTTTTTCCCTGTGTTTTCTGCATGGTGGCTGCTGTGCTGTGTGCTCCAGTGACCCACAGCTCTGGGTCCTCATCTCAGCAGCAAGCCTAGCTCTGCCCTGCTGGCTAGGGCTGTGTGCCAGCCACGCTTGTGGGACTGTGGGAGCAGCAATGGGGCAGCCAGGGGTAGGGCAGGGAGGCTGTAGCCCAGCAGCTGCAGGGGCCTGCTGATGCTGTGCACAAGGATGGCTCAGGGCAGTTGTGCAAGAGAGGATGGGACGGTGGAGCAGGAGTCAGCAACATCAGGCTGTTGCACAAAAAGCAAACATCATCTGGCACTGTGCAAACACAGCATGAGCTCTCCTGCCCTGCTCAGCACGGTATGACCTCAGCCCCCTGCAACCGGTGTGGGAGAGAGCAGCAGCAAGGCAAGGTCTCCAGGTCCCCCTTGCCAGGAAATCTAATTTGCTGGTGGGAAGGACTGATAGTACACAAGCCGCTGTGGATTGCTGCGTCCGCTAATCAGCCATCCATGAGCTGAGCTCCGCTCCCGATTCATTTCTGCCTTGCCCTGGATTAGCAGCTTGCAGGCAGAGCTTGGCAAGCACCCACCAGCCGGGCTAGGAATGGGCCAGCCCTGTCCTGCCACTGGCCAAGCTCTGCTTGTGGCCCCTCTGCCCTGCTGGAGCCGGGCCTGGCAGGACACCGCTGGTTGCAGAGGGCTGTGCAGCCATAGGGCTGCTCACCCATACAAGTGATCCACCAGGGCTGTAGGCCTTAAGCTGTGGATTCAGGGAGGAAGGAAGCTAATGCGCTTGTGCTAATCGCACTGGTGCTTGGCTACCACCTGCAGAATTTCTTCAGTGAACTACGGGCAACGGCTCCCCTGCACACAGCACAAACTCGGCAACCACTGCCCTGGCCCACCTCGGTGCCCGGCTCTCCTGCACCGACCCTGGTGGCTGTCCTGCATCCTCCACACCGTGACACAGGCAGGCTTTTTGCCAAGGAGACTTTCAGCTCCAGGTAGGAAGTGGAGCAGCACGCTCACCCCGCTGCACGCCTTGCTCAGAGGGGCACTCAGAGCCCTCCCCAGGCAACCACAGCCCTGCCATTCCCAAGGTGGCTGCTGGAGCGTTCATTAGCCATCTGCTGCACACAGCCTTGCTGCTGATCTCCAGGGTACCTGGTGAGGACTGCTTTCTCTGGGGAGATACCTGCTGAGCTGACTCTGCAGGGAGAGGACACAGGCAGCGAGGAGGAGGCTCGCTCTGGAGGCCACGTTGTCAAGAACAACCATGTTAGGAAGATGAGGAAACCTGCAGCTGCCCAGGACCTGCGCCAAGCCCTTGGACGTTCAGACAGTCCCAGAACTGCCTACTGGGCTCTTCCTTGTGTGGCATGTGCAGCGTTTTGCACCGGTGACAGTGGGAGGCAGGGGTGGGGTTGCTGCCCTGCAGGCTACGCTCTGCTGCCTCGAGTTTGCTGCCACGTGCATTGGCCCCACTTCCTCCAGGCGCAGCCCAGCCCTTGTCTCAGGGCAGGACACGACACGTGCAGCGGTGAGGCTGGGACATGTATGGCAGGGATGCTCTCTGAAGCCCTTCTGCAGCTCCCTGGATGTGACAGCCCCTCTGGGCGCTTGGCAGAAGCACTGCCTGCACACTGCACACGAGAGCGGGGCTGGCAGCACGCTTGTGGGGTCGCGGGGGGACAAGCACACAGCGGTGGCACCGAGCCTCTGCCATCTGTCCCAGAGCGCTGGCTCAGGCTGCTCTGCTCCCACCTCCTCCTGCTGTCCGGGTGAATCAGCGCTGGTGGCACAGGCGCGCTGAGAGCCGGGGGGGTGCGAGAGCGATTAATTGTTGGTAGTGACTGCGCAGTGCAGCCCAGCTCACAGCCAAAATTCAAGCACAGCACAACAAAGAAGGTGAAAGCCAAGGAGAGCGAGGGGCTGGCAGTGAGACCACGTTGGGCTGCATGTGTACCTCTGAAGAGGATGCACGCATCCTCCCAGATAAACACCCGCCACGCTCCCCAATTTCCTGTGTATGCATCAACTTAGCCTTTCATGTGAATCTTTTAATTCCATTAAAATGCCTGGAGGGATTTTGCTCCGGCACACAAACATGCACATACGCATGCATATGCACACACTGCATCCACATTTGGAAGCACTCCAAGGCTGGAAGATGCTTCCCAAAAGGGTGACAGCTTCAGAAATCCACGAGTGCCTGGAAACAGGTGGTTCTCACTGAAATTATTTGGCAGCTGTGACACATGGCATGTTCCAAGCAAAAGCTCCAGCAGGGCTGGATGATGAAATCACATTTAGAGCTAGATTTTAGAAATAATCTCCTTTTTTTTTTTTCCCTTTCCCCATAAACATACCCTGCCTGAACAGAAAAATACATCCTAAACACACACAAATTGACACAAAGCCACCTCAAGACACACAATCTGTAGAGCCATAGAATGGCTCAGGTTGGAGGGGAGCTCAAAGCCCACCCAGTGCCACCCCAGCCGTGGGCAGGGCTGCCCCCCACCAGCTCAGGCTGCCCAGGGCCCCATCCCACCTGGCCTGGAGTGCCTGCAGGGATGGGGCACCCACAGCTCTCTGGGCAGCAGCGCCAGCGCCTCACCGCCCTGACCAAAGGATTGCTTCCTCACAGCTCACCTACATCTCCACTCTTTTAGCTTAAAGCCATTCTCCCTTGTCCTGTCACTATCAGACCACTCCCACAAGCAACATTTTGTCGATTGTGAGCAAAGGCAGTTGTAGAAAACCCCTTGCTGTGCTTCTCTTCTCCCCTTTGGCTTCTCCACCTAGTGCACTACCCGTGCAATACCCACCAGGCACCCGAGGAAGGAGGCAGATCACTCTGGAGGTGCACATAGCAAAGCCAGCTGCTATTTCAGAACCACCGTGGGCACAGCAGAGTTTTGGCAGAGCCAACCTACACCGTGGGCGGCAGCAGCACAGGATCCCGGCCCTGTGCTCGAACGAATCCAGCCCTACACGCATTTCAGGAGGCCCTCAAGGTCCCGCTGGGCTGACCGTCCCGCTGCTGCTATGCATGGCACGCGCCCACACACCGTGCCGGCCCCCGCGGACCCCCAGAGCCACCAGGACGGGTCGTGGCAGCGCGGCCCCGCAGCCCCGCGCCTCTCCCTCACCTTCTGCGGGGGGCTGCCCACCGTCATCTCCACATAGTAGCCCTGCCCGGACTTGCCCCGCAAGTTATCGATCATCTCCACGAAGGCGCTCCTCCTCTCCGCCTCCTCCGGCGCTCTCCTCGCCCTGGCGCCCGGCGGCGGGGCCGATCCTCCCCGCAGTGGCAAGCGGATGCTCGGCGGGGCCGGACCGACGCTCAAGGCCGCGGCCCCGACGCACAGCAGCAGGCAGGGCCAGGCGGAGGCAGCCATGGCCGCGGCCCCGTGCCCGGATCGCCCCTAACGGGCCCGCAGCGCCCCGCGCCTCGGCCGGGCGGCCGCGCCGGGGCGGGCAGGCGGCGCGGGGCCGAGCGGGGCGGCGGGCATGGCGGCTCGGCGCTCCCCGCCCCTGCGCCCGGCCGCGCTGCCGTCGCCCCGCCCGCCGGCGGAAGCGCTCGGATCCCGGCCCGGCCCCCCAGGGCCCCCCAGGGCCCCCCAGGGCCCCGCAGCGCCCCACAGCGCCCCGCAGCTCCCCGCTCTCGGGCAGGACCCAGATGAGCCCCGGGGTCGCGTCGCCATGGCAAGGCGAGGCGGCGCCCCCTCTTTTTTCCCCGAACTACAGCCCCCGGCATGCACTGCGCGCACCGCCGCCCCTCAGCCAATCGAGAGCCGGGCGGTGATAGCGCTGACCAGTAGCGCTCGGGGGGGGGCGGGCCGGTGAGGGCGTCGTGACCCGGATGTGGTTGCTGCGTGGACCCGGGCAACCCCTGGGCGTCCATGGAAGCGGCGGCGCGGCGGGGCCCGGCCCGATGAGCGCCCGTCGGGACCGAGCGAAGGGTGAGAATGACAGCCGGGTGCGGGGCGGGCCTCGGCCTGCTGAGCCCTCCTACAGCTCGAATGCTTCCGTCTGCTCGTAAAAGATTCCTTCTCGGGCCAGCTTTGTGTGACTCTGCCTCCGGGCCGCTACGGCTGCATGAACGCGTTGATTATCCGCGTGTGTGGGCGGGGGGGCGGAGAGGAGGAATAAGAGCGGTAGGCTGATCCTGACGGCTGTGTCTGGAGCTGCTCGGGTGAACTGCTGCCTTTCGGCCTCACTCTGCGACAGGGCTGTGAGCGTGGGTTGAACGGAGGGCACTGGAGGCTCAGCTGTTGGCTAGAACCGTTCGTGTGCCCGAGTGAGTGCTGCGATCTGCTGAGCTCGTGGTGATGGGCTCTGAAGGAGCACGGCCTCAAATCTGTGTCTGTGGAGTTTAAGTTACATACTGAAGTAATTCTCTAGAGGTTAGAGATGGGACGTGGTAAATTAAGATCTGCTTTTAGCTTCCAAAATGCCCCCTGGGAACATGGGAGAGGCCAATTGGGTTGCTGAGAGAAGCTGGCTCGTCCCTAGGCAGAGCAGATTCAGCCCAGGGATTTCTCAAAAAGCAGTTCTGCGGTCTGGGAAAACTCTTTCTTCTTACCATCTCTTATTTCAGCCTTCCCTTATCTGTCTGAAAAGTGCCCAAAGCCAGGGCTCGTTTTCTCTGTAGGTGCTGGAAAGCCTGGGGAACTCAAACCTCTCTGTCAGCATCAGCCTCAGGTCTTTGATCAGTGTTGCAGTGGGGGAGTGCTGTGAGCAGGGCAGAGCTGTGCCTGCCTCGTCTTCTTGTCCTTAGCTGATAGTGTTGTGACCAACTGTGTATCTTCTTCCCCCTTGGCACTGAGGTGAGAGTTTTCAGTTTCTGGCTGCCTTACTGCTTTGTTCTCAGTCTGCATCCGTGCTTGGTGACCCCCAGTGCACCTTGTTCTCCTCCACAGTTCCAGTGCTGAGTTTCCTGTGAGGCACTGCCATGCACTGTGTGATGGGAAGTTTTGCTTCTGTCTGGCTGCAGTTGCTCCGTGTGATTTTTGTGTCGTTTTCTTCCTGCTGCCAGGTGCAGGGAGCTATGGAAGGAGGTGTCGTACGCATTGGTGACCAGATCATACTGGAAGAAGATTATGATGAGACATATGTTCCCAGTGAGCAAGGTAATAGATGCTCATCCTCCTAGGAGCTGCAATAAGCAATTCAAGCTTGCTATGTTATTTCAAGGAGTGTTAAGTAAATGGGAACTGGGGAGAGCATGATTCAGGAGAGTGGATAAAAGGAGATGTCGTGTAGAGTTGAAAAGCCAGCTTTTTGATTGCAAGGGTATTTGCCATCTTGCAGTCTCAAGCTCTCTGCTTCACCAGCCGGGGAAGACATGTTGATACGTTCGCTGACACACAGACCTGTTTGGGTGGTTTTGAGTGGTGGGATTTCCATTGTGTCCATTGCTTTAGCTGTGGAAGCTGGCTTTGTGTACTGCTTGGTGTAGACCATCTCTACAGATTCCTGTTTTGTTTCCCTAGAAATCCTGGATTTTGCGAGAGACATCGGCATTGACCCAAAGGAGGAGCCTGAGCTGATGTGGCTGGCCAGGGAAGGAATTGTGGCCCCATTACCACCCCAGTGGAAGCCCTGGTGAGAGAACCCTCTCAGAAGCTGGTTTATAAGATTGCTGGTCTCTGCTGGCCTTCTCTGCTTGTGTTTATGATTGTCAGAGCAGGGTATCAGCTGGCAAGGGGAAAAAATATATACAGGTACTTCTGGGTTCTTTTTGGGGCAGTTGAGGAAGAGGGAAAAAGGTTTCACAAGTTGAATGAAGATGTGATCATTCTCAAGGAGGGCTTTTTCACCACACTGAAGCCTCTGGGTTCTTGGAGGCCTTGTATTGCTGTTCACTGAATGTGAGGTGATCGTGTGGTGCATATTTTTAGAGCCTTTGAAAGCCCTTGAATGAGACCATGTCTGTGCAGAGCTAAAGTTGCTGTTGTGTTCTCTCACTGTTTTTGCCACACAGCCAGGATGTCACTGGTGAGATTTACTATTTCAACTTCAACAACGGCCAGTCCACGTGGGACCACCCCTGTGATGACCATTACAGAGCGCTGGTCGCTCAGGAACGGAGGAAGCTGCTGGCACGTGGCAGCTTGAAAAAGAAAGAAAAGAAGAAGAAAGACAAAAAAGATAAGAAAGACAAGAAGGATAAGCAGTCACCGAAGCAGCACACTGTAAGTAGGCTCTGCTGCACGCAGTGATTCTGGGGAGGAGCAAGAAGGCTGGCTGAGGCTGAGTGGCTGTGGATTAGGGGTAATGTTGTACTGTTGCTGCTTTGGGATGGAAAGAGCAATCACTTGACTGGGGATCCCGTCAGGCTATGAGTCTGATGAAAATCCAAGGGAAACGGGATCACACACCCAGAGGTGCACATTAAAGGTGCACACCTTTAGTGGCTCTTTCACAGCCCTGTGATGCTATTGGTGAAAAGCACCTGGGCCAAGGTGGCTGGTTCTGTGGATACTGGCCATTCTGAAGGAAAAGTAAAACAAGTAACCACGTTAAGCTCTGGACCTGAGTTTGTTGCTTTAAGACATACTTTCATTAGGGCAGAGAACATTTATTTATTTTGCATTTTGTGGAGAGAGGGAGGGAAACTGGACAACACTTCGTGTGCTGAGGGATTTTCTGGATTTGCTTTTGGAGAAGACAGTAGAGGGTATCTGTGCTTGTTGCTGTAATATCCACACACGGGATGCAGGTAGGCTGGTCACTATGCTTTTTGTAGCTGGAAGCATAGCCAAATGCCCTTTAGAATTCTAAGTGATGGAATTCATTCCTGCCTTCCTTCCATTAGCCTGTAAAGAGGTAAATATCAGTGGGGAAAGAGAGTTTTGTGTTGCCACTAAAAGCACAGGCATCTTTAACCTCAAGCCTTTAATATGATTATCTTTCTTTTAAACACCTACAGATCACTTCAAGTGCTCTAAAAATTTGCACACCAATTTATATACGTGAAACATTTATTAGATATAAATCTGTACTTTAAGTAAGATAAGTTTGTATGTGTATATATATATATGTAGTTATGTGATATGTTTCAGTTATGTGCTAATATTTATCTAGTTAGGAAATGCAGTGAGGGATTCTTCTTTCAACATCCTTTTGTCATGTACCCTGTGCTGTTCTGTCCCCTGGGCAGGAGAATCCTGAGCCAGAGCCAGATAGCCAGATTAGAAATGAAGGCAGAGGGAGTCCGTCACACATAAATGATTCATGGAGACAATTTGCAGGCATGAGGCCAAACAAACTGCATCCCACACTTGTATCAGCATTCAACAGGCCACGCCAAACCTTAACTGATGTGAAAACTGTAGGAAGTGGCCCACCTTTCAGCAGCTTTGATGTATACATCCACCAGGGCCAAGATGTACCTTTGGAAGTACGAGAAAATGTTCTTTTCAACTCCATTGGGGCTATGAAGAGAAATCCAATTTTATTGCAAGCTAGAGAAGGAAGAAGGAGCCATGACATGACTCTCTTTGATTCCAGTCCCATGGGTGACTGGAATTTGCAGGAGTTGGTTGATGCTTCATATGTTCAAGAGCAGCTAAGGTTTCACAGCAGAGTATCTCAGAGTAGAAGTAAGAGAGAAGTTCAGGATGAGGCTTTGAGTCAAGCTGTCATTCTTTGCATGAATGATGAGAGCATCAGCAGACCTAGGAGACAGGATTCAAAGCAAATGGAGCCAGTGGAACTAGGAGCAGATATAAAAGCAGACGATGTCAGTGGTGTACCAGAGAACCCATCCAGAGTTCCTCAAGAGATCATGGGTGTGCAACCCTGCTTGCAAGGAATAGATGCAAAGGGGGGAATTAATGTGTACCATTGTACATCAAAATGTGTTTCTCCATCTGTCAAAGATGGCTGTGGAGAAGATGGAGAAAGAGGTGATGCGATATCAGAATGTGACAGCAGTGACTGGGACAGCTCTCGTAGTGTTGATACACCCCAGATACTGGGAGTGAGCCATCAGTTCTCCTCTCCACACCGTGAGTCTGGAAGCCCAAAGGACCTGCGCTTTTTCATAGAGGAGCCTATGCTGCCTTGTGCCTTCCTGACATCACTCATGTCTCAGACATGCAGTCCTGCCCAAAAATCAGAGAGGGAACATAGCTCCAAGAGTATGAAATCGTTCCACGTGCTGCAGGAACATGAAGGAAGTGCCGGCTTAGAACCTGAATGTGTTAGGTTTGTGGTGGATTCCTGTGAGCGACTCACTGTCCAGGATTCTGATGGTGCTGCTGGAGGACAGAAAGAAATGAAGAAAGGAAACGGAAGGACAGATCAGGATCCCAGAGTGTGGGAGGATGGAGGCACAAAAGACTCGTGTGCTCCTCCTGAGTGTCTCTATCAGATGGCTGACTGCCAAGGAAGCAACAGTCCCTGTCAGCACACAGAAGTGAGGGTGACCCAGACCAGAAAAACTGCTGAGAATTACAGCAAAATAGAGGTTGGTGAAGGAACAGGTGAAAATAAGGTAGGACTTTGTCCTTTGTGATGGCAATTCTGTCACGAATCTTGAGAATTGAGATTGAAACCACACACTGCAGCTAACCTTCAGGAGCAAAGGGAGAAGGCATCCTGTTAGAAGTTATATAAGGAAGTGTGACAAACTGCAAAATTTCCTCTCACATTAGTCTTACGTTAGGGAGGCGTCTTCTAAAAGAAATAAAGGGGTTATTGGCAGGGAATGCCAGAGGATGCAGCATTCCATACAAAATAGTCCTTAATTTTGGCTCTAAGATCCTTCATAGTAAGCACAGGAGAAGTCAGTCTTTTCCCTCTAAAACCCACAGTCTGAATTGAGGGTGAAATAAGCTTTTTTGAGGCTAAGAAGGCCCAGGGTGAACGTGTTGGTTAAACTGTAAGGCAAAGCCACGTACAAGTCTAGTATGTAGACAAATGGACTCTCTTCCCTCTTAAATGAGAAAAATAGGAAAACATTTGAATGAATTCTCTTTCCTTAAATAGTAGCACTGCTTCCATTGGTTCCAGATCGTTGTTTTTCAGGCAGTATGACTTAACACACTCTGGTCCTTGGATCAGTGTGGCAGTGGTCTTAGGACACCAAGAAGGTTTACAGGTGTGATGGGGCCCTCTGTAAATGTAACTTTCTTCTTCCTCTTTGAATACCAAACACCCCAAAAAAGCTGCTAGAAAAGCATTGCTCTGTGAACCTGGCACTCAGCTTGCAGCAGTGGGAGAAAGTGGAGAAGTGGGAAGTAGAAAGGGTAGGTGCTGCTCTCTGTCACTGTCTATCAGTGCTATGGAATATGTCCTGCAGCCTTCAACTCATAGAGCCCCCCTTTCCCTGGGAGGAACATTTCAGGTTGTCTTTGTCCTTAATTGCCTCAATTTAATAAGAACTGAGCAAATCTCTTGTTCTGAAAACAGAGCAAAACGTGCCCCGGAACTAAAAAGTCACTGTGTGTAGTGGCAATGAGTTGCTTTGCTGTAGTACTGCAGGTACCCAGCTGTGCCTCCACCAAATTGCTAGCTCAGATTTCTAATTAACAGCGTGTGGTAGTGCTCAGCTGATAATAACTATACCTATAAATATCAGATGAACTGCAGATTATCCAAGAAGTTTTAATTAGCCCACTGGAAGTGAGTTTATCTTTGCTGAAGGACAACTAGTGTCTAGTGCTCCACATGCATAGTTAATGGCCATCTGCAGAAAATAATTAGGTAAGCCCAGAATACATTATTTGTACTGTTAGCATTGATGTGGCACTGAGTTGGTGGAAGAAGGATCAGTATGCATTCATCTCCTTCTCCCTGTCCCTCAGTGTGCAAGTGAATTAACTCTGTTTTCAGTCTGTAATTTTGTATAAACACTGAGTACCAGGACTGTGATTTATGAATAAGCATGTGCTCTGCTGAAGCAACAGCACTTGGCCGTACTGGCATGCTGTAGAGAAAACCCTAGAGTACACTTGCTTCTAATTTAACTGGTGCAGTGTATCAAAGGTGAGACTTCTTGGGCAGTGAATTCCACAAAGTGAAACTGAACAGTCGCGTTTCTCAGTGGAAATAACTTGAGATGTCAAGCTTGCATTGTTCAGAGGTGAGGATGTTGGGTGGTTCCCAGGGCTCTTGATGTGCTTTGAAGGATAAAGATATATTCAGGAGCTTCTTACTGATGTGCTGCAGCACAACTTCTTTCCACTTTCAGTACTGCTGAAAAAGTACAGTGGTGTAAGGCAAGGAAGCAGCCTGGATTTGCGTCTAGAGATGCTAATTGCAGCTTGTGGAAAGTAAGAGACTTTCTTGGCTGCTGGATTCTCCTTCACTTGTTTCATGCTGTGCTGAGGAGCAGAGCGAGGAGGGAAGCTACCCAATGTGCACAGGGTGGTGTGCTGGTAAGAGCCTTCCTCAGAGGGTGCTGTGCTCAGTGCATGTGGGTGCGTGAGTTAGCCGGACTGTTGGTAAGCTCTTGCTCCCACCTTGGAGTAATGGTCATTTGTTTTCTGGATCACCTTGCTGCTGTAAACTCCATCACTGTATTCAGATGGGTCTTCAGGAGTTGAAACGGATGGGTAAAGCAATCTGCTGTTTCCTACACATGTCATTTGCTGGTAATTGTTTGGTGTTAGCTCACAAGAACAACTTCTTGATGGTAGGTTCAGTGCTAGCCAACGGTGTTTGCATTGAGGAATGCCTTCTGAAGCAAGTGTGAGCTGTGAACTCGTGTTCTTCTCTCCCATCCTCTAGCCTTCAGGCACCCTGCCAGCACCTGTGCAGGTGCCCCTGGGGAACCTTGCTCCTCTGCGTGGCCCTGTGGCTTCTCCAGCTGGCGTCCTGCGTGCCTCACTGCACTCAGACATGGGGAGCTCTGTGGATGCTGGTGTTGCAGACAGAGAAGAAGCTCAGGTAAGATTGTTTTCTCTGGGAGCATGCCCAGAAAAGCAGTCTATGCAAGAGGTCACAGGTTTGGTGTTACTTAAACATTTCAAAGACAGTGTTTGTGGCCTGTCCTCTGTTTTAAAATGCTTTGGACTGAAACACTTCTACTGTTCCACTATGTTTCTTGTCTTTTGCTGTTTCTAGGGGGTTCAGTGATAAATTTTATTTCTTTAGCAGCTTGAAAGACAGAATATTTTCAATAGTTGAAAAACTGTTGATTTGAAGTGAACTTTGATTTCTACCCAAATGGAGCATGATATACTGTACAGGTAGTGTAAGCTAATAAATAACATTCCTTTAATAAAAGTGATACAAGCAAAACATCTGGCACAGTCTTGACTGAATCTGTGTTCTGAGGCAGAGATAGATTTTTGCAGGTGTGCTTCTTTTGGATGGGAGCCTCTTTTTTTTGTGAAACTTCACAAGAAATGTCATCTCCTAGCTGGATCTGGCTCTATAAGGGTAGCAGCATCATCCTGAGCAAGTTCTCAGAGTTCAAAAACTTCCTTTCCATTGCCTGTTTCGGTGGGTTCGTACCTCCCCTGATACTTTGCCTCTCCTCTGATTTCCCTTCCTTTGTAACTTCACAATCTGTAAGCCCACTGGTGAGACCAAGGAATTGATTTGTGAAGAGTTCTTTAAACACAATGGCTGTAGATGAAGGGAGAAGTGAAGAGGAAGTGAGAATGAGGTAGCTGACGTGTATTGGCTCCTCATCTATGTCAGTAACCACAGTGCTTGAAGCCTCAAGGAGTGGAAAACGGTGATGCTACTCCAGTAATGGCTGATAGACTGTGGTGATTCAGTTTGACTTCAGGCTTCAATTTGCACTGCACTTCCTATGTGTATCTCTCAGTTGCCAGAAAGCGTCTACTCTTGTTTTGTGCTCTGTAAATCCACATCTGCCTCCTGTATTTCCAGAATGTAGGCTTATTGCTGTGGTACGTTTCTCTGGCTCTGCTCCCTTATTTCCATGAATTACGGACCCTCAAGTTCCTTCTGCACAGCCTATGGCATTGCAGAGATCAGAACTCAATTTTGGCCGTTTCCTTTTTTGAATACATCTAGAGTCTCCATAGGACAACCGGACTCTTCAAAAACCTGCACATGGACGTCAGTGCCCTGGGATGCAGCTTTGAATCTGAGGTAAGAAAGGCACGATCAAACAGGTAGCGTAGAACTACCCAAATAGAAGAGGAGCTATGGCACTGCACTGCCTGCGTGTGGGCTGCAGGAGGGAGAGCCCAGGAGCTGTACCCTAAGAGCTGTTTGTAATTCATGAGAAATAACAACCTACAGCAGGGCTGGGAGGGCAGCATATATGAGAAGCCAGATACCCACATCACTGCCCCTCTACAGAGAGTATCAGAAGGTAGATTTGTCCTTGAAGGAGAGTGCTGTCCAATCTGATAGTTGGCATTTGATTTGACAGCACCTGAGCGTGAGGTGGAGCTTGAATTCCTGATGAGTGAATGAAGAGAAACTTAAAGCAACATAGGTGCGATGAGCAAGGCAGAAGTCATTTCTTTCAAGAAATGACAGAAAGAAGAGAGTCTCAGATCTGAGTGGTGCCATTGCTGATGCTGTGGGAGGAAGGGTTGATGAGGAAGAGGCATGGTTTGTTTCCTCATTGTTTTTTTTTCTGTCAGTGCAGAAGGAAGGCTTATTCTCAGCAGAAATTGCAGCGTTGTCGTTTGGAGAGTGGAGGGGGAATTTGGTCTGGAGACACCATCCTCACATTGTTGTTCATTTCCATAAGAATCTCTTAGGAACTTCATGGTGGACTGGATACGGCAGCTTTTTCTGTGTGTGGCAACATAAAACTCATTTTGTATCTTGCACTGCTGATGAATTCCGTTGCTCAGACTCTCAGCATCAGCAATGAGTTCAGTACACGCGTTGCCTTGTGCAGACATTTTGCTTTCCCTGCGGGTGTGCATTCTTTGCCAGCACTTTCTTAGCAGTGATCAGGCTTAAGATGACAAAGGGACAATGTGAAGTGCGTTGCAAGCAGCTCTAGTGATTCAGTCTGTCTGTGCTGACGTTAATCCTTTCTTAGCACTTTGAAAATTCCGTTCCAGCAATTGAAAGGCAAATTAATTTCTGTTAAAACGTTTTTACTATTTCCCTCATCCTTTTCACAGCGTACAGAAAATTAAGCTGTAAACTCATTTGGAGAACTCATTCATAGAGCTGGACAGGAACTGCAAATGTTTGTAATAAAATGGATGCAAAAAAAAAAAAAAAAAACACCCAAAAAAACAGAACAAAAAGGCTTCGACCCTCTCATCTCCAAACAAGAAGCCTGTCAGAGCCCAATTCGTCACTGAAATGTTAATGTGTCCAGGAGCAAAGGGTTGTCTTGGCATTTCAGTGACATGGCAAGGCTTCAGGAATCTATTATAAAATGGCAATTGCTGCCCAACAGCCAGGCTGTGTCTCAATAGCTAGTAACTCAGATTGGTGATATCTCAGCCCTGATAAAATATTAGTGCCCCATGGAAAATATCATTCACTCGTAACTCCATGAGAGGGCAGTAGAAAAACGTTCCTATGAGTGAGCTCTTATCCTGCATCCCATCTCCCCAGCTTTGTTCCAAAATGGAGAGAAGGAAAGAATTCATAAATCAAGCTCTGTGGGAGGTGAATCTAGGAAGTGATGGGGTGAAAACAGCTGGTTTCATGAAATCTGTGGATCAGGGCTGAATATTCATGTTTAAAGAAAAGAAATGTGAGAGTGTGGTGATGTGCTGAGGTTCAAGGATCCTCCTGAAAGGGACGAGAAGAGGAAAAGACCTGGAGGCACCTCTGGGTGCCTGCATTGAGGGTCCCATGACAGCAGGAGTAATCCACAGGCTGCTGTGCTTGCAGTTTGGGAAGCCTTATTGCTTTGCCTTCTGTACAGGTCAATCTCTGGGTAAACAATTGGAGTCAAGGGGGACCTTTATCTGATGGGGGATTAACATGCAAAGCTCTCTTAGCAGATGGAGATGTGTGAAAGGGAGCTCTCTCTGTAAATAAACATTATGCAATACAGTGTACATGTTATTGCAGAGATGTATACACAGGCAGCAGTGTTCCAAGGATATTAAACACAATGTATACACAAGCAGCTAGTTCCAAGGATATTAAAACATCCATAAAATATCAGTGCCTCGGTGGCTGGTTGAAGGGGAGGGATGACAGATGTGTCACAGCCTTGCTCCTTCACGTCCTGAGGAAGCACAATGCAGAGCTGCTGTGCTCATTCATACTCAGGCCCTCACAGGCAGAGGACCCCAACAGCTCAGAAGGGTGCTGTGTGAGTATTGGCTAGCAGATGTTACCCCACTCACTAGGATAACAGCAAAGCAGAGGAGGAGAACTATGGTGGTCACCTGGCTGATGTCACTGAAGCTCATCTCCAGGACCAGAGGAGTCCCCTGGAGGAAGCTGGCAGTCTGAGAGAGGTGATGAGTGGCTCTGACATTGCAGCCCTGCTTGCATGGTGTCGCAGAGCTTTGCTTGCTGCTTCCAGCGTTGTGGTGTGGATCTGATTGTTGCTTAGCTTGTTTCTTTTGCTGCTTGAAGTATTATGTGAATGGAAAGAGGTGTAAACTTAAGAGCAAATGCTTTCCAGATGCTGCCAGACCTACCCCACTCTGTTCTTCTCTGCCTGGGACCAACCTGAAATCAGGAAGCAAAAGGGGAGCATGTTCAGCCTGCAGAGCAATTCTCTATGCAGTATGAGGTGGCTTGTTTTCTTCCCTCTCTTTTAAAGATAGGATTGTGAAGGGTTTTGTTGTAATCTCTCATGTTCAAGCTGTTAAAATCCAAAGTGGCATAGTCATCCTGTTTTGGGAGATGAATAAGATGCAGTTTTGTTGGCTGCTGTCTGCACTGATTTTTCATCCCTGGTTTGGATGCTTTTCCAAAAACCTGATCCCACTGGTATCAGTGTGGGTTGCTGGTTTTTTTTTTCCTGTTTATTTTCCTCCAGTTATGCTGATCAGTAGGAAGTCTGGAGATAATGTGTTTGATAGGCAGAAATTCCATGTTAGTGTCACACAGTTGCAGGTGAAATGTGTTACAGCTTGTGAGAAGATCAGCTAAAGCCAATTATAATCTGGTTGGCTCTTCCTAGCCCCAAAATCTGTAGCAAATTCATGGTCTCTTTTTTACACAAGGAAAACCTTCCTTCTCTTCCACCTGTGTGTCTGAGTGTCACAGTTCCCTATTCTGGAGAGCTACACTTGTCATCATCAAGGTGTAGCGTTAACAAAAATCTTCTGTATCTGTCCTTAAAATAGGATTCTACCAGGTAAAGAAATTATTCTGGGATGTTCCAGTAGCTGAGGTAAATTTTACTGGAGAGAGGTCTTTGTGTGTGCTGTGTATCAGTGGATACATCTGTATGTTGTTGTATGTGCTCCCCAAAGGGAAAGGTCTGTTTATGGTTTACAAGCCTAAGAATCCTGGTTGGTCTCATCTGGCACATCTTTTCTTGGACATTATCAGATGTCCTGGGGAAAGGCTCTCATGAAAACTGCAAACCAAATCTGGCCAAACAGAAGCACATCTAGGGACTCGTCCCAGGTGCTCTTATCCCCAGATTAAAGGAAGCATCATGAAGATGGGTCCCCTGGAAGATCACTAAAGGAATGGCACCACCACGTACATTTTGCTGGGTTCTGGCACAGAGATGTTAGCCAGGCCTTTGAAGAGCCTCCTGTGGCTGGCTACTGATTCAGCGGTGTTTGTGAACCTCTGCTAACCAGGCACTGAACTGGAAACAGGCCATAAGCTTTCATTTATTACTTGGCAGATTGCAGGTGAGGCTCTGAACTGTAGTTTTTTTGGAAAGTACCCAGTGATTTGATTTCTCTGTCCTCCCCTCTGCTCTGATTGATGACTCTCTCAGCCCTGAGAAGGTCTCCCAGACAAATGATGTGCCCAAGACAGCCTTCCAGTTTGCCGCAGCTCCGTGTTCAGAACTGACAGCATTCCAGTTGCACTTTGATAAAAATACATCGTTAAAATATGCAGTCTGTATGGTACATGCTGTACTCAGGATGCAGCTAATGTTTGACAAGATACCACAGCATTAATAAACAGCGAGAAAGTAGGAAGTGCAAGCAGTTTTGTTTGCATACCGGTGAGGGAACCTTTTCCTGCTTCCTCCTGGCTGTCACACTATTTGTTGTGAGTTTTGTGGGCCTCCCCACCTCTGGGAGATGCAGCTGAACCTTTGGGTGACTGAGTTCTTGCTTGGGATTGTTCTTCCCAAGGCCAGTGGGAGAAACACATTTCTTTGTCTAATATCTTAGTTGAGATTTGAACCAAACTGGGACTAGAGTGGCTGCTTAAATCAGTGCCTGCACTCGGCTCGTCCCACTGGGAAGCATGGAGGCTGCATCCTGCCTGCCCTTCTCTAGTTATTTTGTGCTAAATTTCTTGCAAACTTCCACTTGTGAGACAGACTCAATATAAAAGCCCTCTGCAGAGCTCTTGGGTCTGATGGTCCCTACAGCAGCCACTGCTCACTCTTAGCTACTCGTGATTACAAAAGCAGTGGGGTAATCTCAGCCTCAGGAAATGAATGAGTTCATCTTAGTGTTCTTTTCATTTGAAAGAGCCTGTATGAAAATAAAACCAAGCTGGTCTTGCTGAAGTCACCCAAAGCTTTGTGATTTTTTTATTTTTTTATTCTTTTTGCTTGCTGTAGAAGAGCCCAGCGTTGTTTTCTGGTGTTGTTACTGGTTGATGCTGGTGATGTTTTCACCCAGTATCCTCCCAGAGAGAGAGTAAAGAATGTTATAGCTGTAACTGTGTTTGACTTGCTGCCTAGAAGGAGTCTTTAAAATCAAGACGTGCTGAAGAAGAGTCTTCCTTGGATTCTGGTGACACGTGCCCTCCAACTCCAGTTAAAGCCCTTTCTGGAGATGCTCACTGTAGGCTGTCTGACCAGAGCAAAGAGGAATCTGATGAGAAACTCACTGGGAATGAAGGACTGGGTGAGAAAGCTGCTGAGGTGCAAGGTGACGTCTCTGCAGCTGATGAGCTGCCACAGTCTCTGGAGGAAGGGAGAGCAGCAGGGACAGACGTGCCCAGCAGTCCTGGGCAACCTCGAGCTGCATCTCCAGATGCTGAAGCTGCTGAAGCTGCTGAAGCAGATCAGCTGGCAAGCCTGGCTGTCACCGTTGACACCGTGTCTGTTGATGAAAATATAGTAAATGAAATGAGGGAGGAAGCAGCTGATGTGAAAGCTGACAGCAGGCTGGATGCTGGCAAAGTAAGCGACCTGCCTGCTTGGGTTTGGTTTGGTGTGGAATCTGCCGTGGCTGTTCCCATTGCTTTGTAAGGCCCTGATTCAGGAAAGCATTTGGAGCACTTGCTCATTTTCTGTTTAGTCAGCATAAGTGCTTTCCTAATCAGCAGTGTGTTCCTATGGGGAGGTGGGGGTGGCAATAAGTGCTCTGAATTCCCAGATTGGTTTCTTCAGTACTGAGCTAGGAAATATTCTTCTCTGCATACACAAAGTGCTGTCCAAAGCAACTGACAGGCAAAAACCCTGGACTGTGACGCATGTTTCAAGTCTTAGAGGAGAAATAAGTCTCAGCTTTCAGTGCTGCCATCTGTACTAAGCAAGCAGGTTTTATGATGAAGTTCACACCAAGCTCAGCTGTCTGTACTGCTTTGTTTCTCTCCTTCTGTTGTTTCTCTCAGCTTATGTAGAGATGGGGCTAAAGTGTAAAGTGAGCTGCCAGCTGTGATGTTTACGGCTCTGCAGGAGGATGCTGAGAGGGAAGCATGAGGTCAGGGGAAGGGCCATACCTAGGGGCTGGCTCCCGTGCCCAGTACCTCTGTAGTGCTGCCTGGGAGGAGAATTGGCAGCACTGAGCTGCACCGGGGCACTCGATTGTGCAGGCTCTGGCAGGAGATGAACTGCTCTGCATCACGAGGTGCAGGTGGGTTAACAGCCTGGACCTGCAGCCACGATATCAGATGCACACCTTTCAGTTCACCTGTCTTCCAGAAGCGTTAAAGTGAGACCTGAAGAATGATGCCTCTCCAGTCTATTCTCTTCCTGATAATTTTGGTGATTTCTCTGGTGTGTAATGTCTAAGAAATGATAAACCATATGACTGATTCTGCAAAACGTGTGCTTTCCTGAAGAGCTTAAAATGGAAATCTTTGCTTTTATAAATGCTCTCTTTACATGTTTGGTTTGCTGAAGTCAGCTGGACTGCATGGGTGTTAATGTTAAGCAGTTCTGTATTGTTTCACTGTGACTGGGAACATAAGGAATCTGCACTGCAAGTAGGGACAGCAAGATGCTGGATTTTTGAAGTGGTGGAAAAAGCTCTGTTCTGTGTGGCTTCATGATTTACTTGGTGGCCCAACGGCTTCTCAGAGCTGTGATGATCCTTGCAGAAGGAATGAGGCAGTAAGCTAGTGCCCTTGTCAGGGGTATTTGAAGAGCACTTCTTTGCCTTCCCCAGTCCCATCTCCTGTGTGCATCCTCCTTTCCCAGCCCTTTCTCTGTGGCATTCTGTGATTGTCTTGTGAGTTACACCCTTAGTGTCTCCTAACATGTTCGTTCACCTCAGACACTTGCTGTTTTTCTTCCTCACGGTATACAGAGACCAGATCTGTCTTCCAGTTATCATTTGTTGTCTTTTTAGTTGGAAATGCCTAAATGAAGCTGCAGGGCTAACACATGTACATATCTCCTTTCAGCCTTCCAAAGTATCTGAGAGCAGTGAATGCATGGAGGACTTGCAGGCTTCTAACCACCTCGACCAGGAGCTGATCCAGCATGTGGTGAGTCGCCAGGAGCTCCTTATCCCTTGGCTATGGGCTTTGCATCCCTCTGGGAACACACAGCCAGCGTAAGGCTATAGCCATCTCTTGTATCCCTAACTCATGCAGTGACCTTACTGTCTGGCACAGATCACCTGTGTCACCCTCTGCTTAGCTCCCTTTGGTATTCAGGAAGACTCTTGGAATACTGAAGCACACTTGTGCTTAGCAAATTCCTGAGGCAGCACAGGCTGTATCGGATGAAGTGGCTTGACCAAGGACTATCTGTTTGGAGAGCAGTGCTTCAAGAGCCAGCTCCTACTCTGAAAGCCCTCTAGCTCCAGAGATGTGCTTTCAGGTTTGAAGCCAGACCCAAGTCAGGCACTCAGTAAGATTTCCAGGTCTGCCTGTGTGGTCCTGTCGTGTGTATTGCCCATGGTAGGAGGCTTGTGGTAATTCTGCAGTCAGGTGTGGTGAGAGACTTGTACTGAGCAGGAATTGCAGAAAAGTGCAGGTTCAATCTGAGGGTGAGGTAATAGCTCTGGCAAAGTAGGTCACTCATAGCTGAGACTCCACTTAGATAATTGCAAAGTGGAAAATAATAAGCGATATAAAATCATGCTTTAAGGGATGAAATAGCTTTTTCTAAGGGAAATGTGCATGGCTGAGAGTCCTGGCTCCTGAAAGTTCCAGGGGGAGAACATGCAGGAGGATAGCCCTGAGGTGAGGGGTGAAGTGCCCATCAGCATCTCTTCATCTCTGCAGGAAACTGCTGCTGCCATCTGCCAGTGGGAGCAGAGGCAGCATGGCCAGAAAATGGCTGCGAATATCATTATCTATCAGTGTTAGTATGAGCCTGTGTTGGCAAGTGGCTGCTGCATCAAACAATACCTTTTCTAGAGCTTGCTTGTGGGCATGCGTGTGTGCTCCCTCGCACGCTGTGTGTGCAGCCAAGTGTGTGAACCCACAGCCTCTGCCAGTAGGGAGAATTCGGAGCGAGAAGCCCATGGGCAACTTGCAGGAGCTGACTTCAGGAAAAAATATCTCAGAAGATCTGCACCAATACTGGGAACAGAGCAGTAGAGGGTTGGGGCTATAGATGCACTGTATCACCTGTGCCTGCTGTGTTCTGTGGCATGGAAGAACGCGTGAGGTGGTGTGGCAAGGCTCACTGCCCTGAAGCAGTTCATGATGCCCTTATGTGGAATTGCAGCTCGCTGGCATTGCAGGGAGTTTCCTTTGGGACCATCAGGGAAGAGAGCTGCAGTGCAGTGCAGTGCCAGGGCCCCACCTGTGATGGTTCACACCGGTAGCTCAGTAACCTCTTACCTGTGTGTGTCCCTATGGGTTGGGAAACAAAACCCAACCTGCTGCCAGGGCCATCTGACTGCGATACAGATAGAATCTGTGCTTGGATGGAGGCCTGAATTTCAGTGTAGCCATCTCCCATGTCCTATAAACCTTTCTAATTGTAGTGGCTCTGGATATTTGAACCAAATTGCTGTCAGTGGGATGATGAGTGAAGATTCCTAAGCGTGTTCAGAATTTTTTTCTAATTTGTCAGGATCTCTCATGGGACGAGTGAACTGATCCTATCCTTTCTTCTTCAGGACTTGGCTTTCCAGAGCCAGTTTTCTGAGCGGGTGTTGGATGTAGATGCTCTGTCTCCTGCTTTAGACAAGTCACTATGCAAGGTAAGTGCTTTATCTATGATTAGGGACCAATCTTGGAATGGGCAGGTTAAAACACTGCACTGTGGCATACTAATAGCAGGATGAAGCTATTGGCATAAAGATTTTGAGGCAGATGGAGCACTGTGACTTCAGGGAATGGATGAGAGCAGCAGTTCTAGCTCAGTGTTGTGTCTGCAGAGATGCAGGGAGTTGCAGCCACTCCTGTGAGGAGAAACTACACATATCATTCTCTTGGGAAGAGCTGGTTTGTGAGTGATGCGTGCATGCAAGCTCACAAGTGTGTGCCTTCACTGCCTCCAGTTACATGCATAGATAACTGGCTTTCCTAGGGAGTGCAGGGAAGCAGAGTCTGTTTGGCTTTTTTCCTGTTGTGTGTATTTGTTCTGCTTAAGAGAAAGAAAAGATGAAGAGAACTTGTGTAACAGAGCATAGTAGCAGAAAATGAAGAAATGGAGGTTACCTTCCATGGACAAAGAAACTTAATTTTAGGCATTTGCTTGCCTTGGCTGCTTTCATGTAGGGGAAACAACAGGATCCTTCCAGTCAGTCTGTGGCATATGAAGGAGTGTACACATGCATGAACGCATCTGCTTCCTATATCACGCTGGCCCCATATGTAGCTATGTTATGGCAGTTCTGACTGAGGATTGCTGTGCCTCTCGAGATTTTTATCCTTGTCTTCTCAGCGTGTTGCCAAGTCGTCCTTCTCAGCCCTGCACTCCTGTTGAGCTCTCCCAGCTCTCCCTCTCCTGCACCATCTCAGCTCATCAGCACGTTGGCTGGAGGAGCATGCTGCACAGCGAGGCAGAGGGTCAGGCTCCAGCTGGGGTTTACTCAGCCTTGCTCTGATTGTAAGTGAGTTGATCAGCTGCATTGGAGGAGACCTTGAGTGGCAAACTCACCACCTGTCCAGCAGAGAGGAGCAATCCAGTTTGTTAGGTTGTCTGGAGAATACACCTGTCCTCTTGTGCCTAATAATGAGCATAATCAGATGTGAAGGGAAAACAAAACATATGCCTGCTGTGTTCTCCCCCTTTCCCTCTTGCTACAGCACAGTCATTGTGCATACAAATGTCTTGTTGGAGCAGACACATTTTGAGTTTTTTACAGCCTTGTCTTGAGGAGGGAGAGGTGGATTTGAAATGGTGCCCCCCGCAGAACTGCAGCTGCTCTTTTGTTCAAAAGACAGAGGCTATTTCAAAATGAGACTCCGGAACGTTGGAATGTGATTATTTCCATGTAATGGACTTGCCTTGCTTTGAATATACTGGCAAAATATTCTTTTTTTTTTTTTTTGAATAAAAAAGACCTCTTCAATGGTGCTACATATGCACGACATTGGAGGCTTTTGGTTAGCGTGTTTTGGCAGGAGCTGTGTTAGATTGCAGTGGCAGTGTGGGCTGCTCTCTGCTAGACTTGACTTCTCTGCTGGCAATGGGAAGGTTGCTCCTTTCACCCTTCACTTAGCAGGCATTTAAAGTGCTGGCATCCTCTTTGCTGGCATTGTTACCAAGCTGAGGTTGATGGTGGTGAGGAGCTGGAAGCAGGCATGGCATTGGAGCTGTCACGTGCTGGAGACCATAGAGATCCTCCTCTCAAGGCCTCTTGGGGACTATGCTGTACGAAGAGGAGACAGCCTATTATCTGTCATCCTGGCTTTGTATTGTGAGCGTGAGATCTTTCCTGGGGGACTCAGCCTGGTGTCGAGCAGGACAGAAGCCCAAGCTGCCAGCAGTACTCAGTGCTTCGCAGGGTCTTCGCAGGGAACAACCAGAGGGTTAAGGCTCTGGGAACTTCACAGGCAGGGCTTAAAATCCAGCCCTTCTTCCCTGTGGGCACAAGCTCTATTTGCCTTTCCAGATACGTCTGCGTATTCCTACAGGGATTTCTGGGGAGATACGTTGGGCAGGAATGCAGAGGAGGTCCCAGACATGGGCTCAGCAGTGTAACCTGTAACTCACCATCTTTATTCCCCAGAAGACCTCGTTCTTTGTTTCTCTGGCTTCTTTCCTCGCACAGGCAGCAGTGACAGAGCCTGTTTTGAGCCAGGTGATGTTTTCTGGGCTCCTCAGTTCTCAGGAATTGAAGTCATTATTTAGGCTGGAGAGATGGGGAGCTGCTGGGAGAGTTCTGACCAGGCTGATGTGATGGAAGGTGACAGCACTTGCAGGGAATCCTTCCGCTGTTTGCTCTGCTGAACATTTGCATAAATTACTGCTGTTTTAATTGTGTTATTTTGGCCCTGCTCCCTATTACATTCCTGCATGGCAAGGTCTGAGCTCACCTGCCATGTGTGGTCCCTGGAATTTCTGGATGAGCTCTGGGGACCCATATGTAGCATCCAGAAACCTCATCAGGCAGGATGGGCTGTTGGTTCTTTCTCATGTAGGACTGAGGGTTTGAAGAGGGAGCCTGTTTCCCCTTCCTTGGGTGAATTAAACAAGTGTGTGTGTGTGTCTGTCTGTCTGTCTGTCCTTGCTGGAGGGACAGAAGTACCTGGTAGATGGCAGGTGGGAATAAGAACAGCTAATTATTTTATATTGAAATATTTGTTATTTTAAGTATTTCCTACTTCATAAATAAGCTACCTGAAGTCACTCTGAGCCTGTTATTGAGGGACAGTTTAGTCAGCAGCATCCAGACTGATCTGTTCTGGACGGAGTGGTCAGAAGTCTCTGGGTAGGTGTGACTATATCGTATGATGCCCATTGTGGTCTGTTTGGGAACCAAGATTCAAGGCAGAACTATTGTAATTCTGGTCACAATCGGTGCATCAGTTTTCTTTATGGCCACAGTACATTATTTCATGTTTGTATATGTGACATTCCTGCTTTAAAAGATTTGTTCTGCATTATTCAGACAGTTTATGGTTACTTGGATATGTAAGATGACCTCTGGGGGGGAATAAACAACCAAAGCTGATGTTGAGAGTGCTGTGTGCTGGCAGAGTTCATCTTCTGTACTGAAAAAAACAACCCTGAGACCAATAATAGAACATAACCTGGAGAGCTGAGCTCCCTGATGTCTCTGTGCTGATGGAGCCATTCCTCCATGTGTTCCCATGGTATCTCAGGACCTTGGTTACATGCAAGAGAGGAAATTAATGCATTCAGCTGGGCATTGTGGAATGCCCTGTGGATGCACTTTAGTCCCTGGGCTTGGTGCTGGTATGTTAGACCAGAGTGCTCCTGCTTTTTGGTGGAGCCACCGTAAGGTCTGGGAGGCTTTGATGGCAAAGGAGCCAGCAAACTCCACACTATTTGCTTTTACCTGCAGGCCCAGGAGCTGGGAGAAGAGGAAAAAGACCAAAGCAAAGCCAGTATAGATGAAGAGCAAAGCAAAAGAACAAAAAGGTGATTCTGTGATTCTGTGATTCTGTGAAAAGCTGCTGTGAGGTATGGTACAAACAGAACTAGAAAGGAGGCACAGACAGCTCTAGCTCCAAGTGACTTTCCTGTCTTGTCTGTCCCTGCTGTGCTCAGGTCACTGTAACCTGTACAGGAGTTCCCTGCAGAGCACTCTGAGTTCCTGCAGTGTCTCACACAGTCTCTTCCATTCAATCTTTCTTTTCTCCCACCCCTTTAGTATCACCTCAGCAGATTTTAGCATTGTTTCAGCTTCTGGCTGGGAAGACAGCAAAACTGCCTGCCTTGCCCTCCTCATGACTACTCTGAGATGTGGAGCTGGCTTTTCCATTTCCCTTATAGCTACATGGCTTTTATCTAAGGCTGTGAAAGTCACTCTCATGCCATGATGGTCTGTTTTCTCATTATGTTGTGCCTTGTGGTACCTTGTGGCCCTAGCCTTTGCCTGATAACAAACGTTGCAGGTTTGGGGGCCAGTCAGTGCTGGTTTGGCAGGAGAGTTTAGCTCCAAAGTGAACAGTTTCACTTCCTTCCTTAGAGGAGTCTTAAAGCCACTTGGCTTCTGTTTGGCCAAGCACAAATGCTAAGCTATTTTGTTATCCTGCTTTGTGGACATCTCTATAACGCAACAGCTGTAACCCCAGGAGCAACACAGGTTTCCCCAACCTTTAGTTGCTATGAGGATTAGACTGTCTAGGGGAGGTATTTTCCCCCGTTTGTGGAAACTTGTTTAAAGCAACTGTAATGTTGTGCTGAGCAGAGGGCTCTGTGGTCTCTAGAGCATCCTGCTCTGCCTTTGAGAGTTGTAACGTGGTGTTTATAGATGAATTGTGTCAAAACTCTTAGCCTCCACACAGAGCTACACAGCATTCTGGGGCACAGGGAATGAAGAAGCTGTTGCTTATGCCAGGAAAACCTGTGAACGGAAGAAGCTGCAGTCCATCTTAATGGCTGGCTGTGTGCAATTGGGATTCACAGCTTTGTGCTTGGAGGAGTTGTTCACACGAAGGTCCCTAAAAATGTGTTCTGCCCAAGGAATTCTCTTTATCACTTACTACCTGCTTCCCAGCTATGAATCCTCCCCACTCACTCTGCCTGTACAGCTACGTTGTGCTTGCTTAATCTCTCTTCTCTGTGCTTCCAAGATGAAGTAGAGCCATAGATGTAAACATGCCTGCCAATGTATTTCCATCTCTAATTTAGACTACAATATGAGCGTTACTAATAGGGCTGATTTATCTTGGGGAAATTCTGTAAGGACTTGCAAAGAGAGGGAAGTAATCCGGCAAAGATATTCGACATTTTGAGGTTGACAGACAAATTACACCCTCAGCTGCCTGTTAGTCTGGCAGTGCTCGAGGTGGTGTGAATGGTTTGGAGCTTTGTCGGGGCTTTGGCAGCCCCATATTGGACAAATGAAGCCCCTTGGCAGGCATGAGCTCGTGCTGCAGACTGCCCGTCTTGAGTCAGCTGCTCATCCAGTCTTCCCTCTGTCTTTGCTTGGAGCAGTCACTAGAATCTGATCTATGCTAATCTGATATTCTGTTACCTTTTTTGTGCTGCGAAGTGAGAGGGATCAAAGTGGTGGTGAAGCATCAGAACAGAAGTGTGTTGCTTTAGAAAATGCCAATCAAGAGGAGGCTGTGGCCCTGCAGCTGGATGAGGAATTGCCGGATAGCCTAATCGATCTGGAAGAACTTGCAGCCCTGCAAGAAGCGTAAGGGCTTCATTTAAGTCCCTAGTGTTGTATGCATAGCAGTTTTTGTTCTTTCTTTTCTGTTCTCCCCATTATTTGAAGTTACTGTGTGAGGCTGGCACGCCAGGAGATGCAGTTTGGTGGGCACAGCAGAGCTTGAGAGCATCTCAGCATGCAAATCCAAGCAGCTGTTCTCCTGGCAAGAGTGCCAAGGTAACAATCTGTCCTGCGGAGGGTGAGAACAGCAGCTCAGCCCTTGGGGTCTGTGGCACAGGACTCTGTGGTATGGAAAAAGATCTGTTTACTTTGTACTTGGAAAAGCCTCCTTACCAGCGTCACTAATGAGGCTAAGCATTTACACACCTAATATAAACAGTTTTCCACAGCAGTTTGCTTGCTGAGCAGTACTGAGATTGGAAGGAGGGAGGGGAAAAAAAATCCTCTCACTTTTAGAGTCCCTGGGAACGCTGTTTGGTTTGGGATAACGAGGTCAGAGCAGAAGATGGGAGAACTGAGTTTCTCTGCAAAAGCCAGTGGTCTGTCACAGTAGTAAATTGGTGGAGTTTGCTGATAGGTACCTGCAGTTTCACTGCAATGGAAGTTCCCAGTAGAGGAACATGCTGACTTTGCTTTCTGTGTCAAATGACAGATCAGCAGAAGTAATTGGAAAAAATAGGCAATGCATCTATCAGGACAAAGTGGTGGAGTAGCAATCTTTGATTTGAAGACAAGTATCTCCTTTTTTTTTATTATTTGAAATTGTGTAAATGTGCATGTGTTGGTTGGATAGTTATTTAAACAAAGATTTGAGCAAAAAAGAACAGTTTTAGGTAGAAGTACTTGAAGTGCTTCGCAGAGCAGCCTGATAAATGGCACCTCCTGGAGGCATCTGTGCAGTTGGCCCGGAGCGTGCAGTGTTACAGGGGAGCAGTAGTGAAACAGGATTTTCCAGGACCCGGCTACCCTTTCCTCTCTCTCTGTTCTTTTGCTAATGGCTGCATGAGTAACCTTTTCTCTCTGACTCAAGGTTATATTACTAGAGCTGCTATTTCCCTGATTCCAGGCAAGACAGAGCTCTCTGCCTTATGCTAGCAGTCTCGGGGCATGATGAGAAGACCTTGCTGCTTCAGCTTTCACTAGCACAGAATAAGAATTTTGTCCTTAGACTAATCTTCATTTCTCCCTCTTCCCTTTCAGCCTCTTTCAGACCTTATAATTTTGCTACTCTATGTCTGAAAAAAAAAAATACTTAATTAGAAACAGATTGGTTTTGAATTTTTGGAGAGCTTAGGGCTTTTTCTTGCCTAGGGCTGGCAAACTCCCAGCACACTTTCGATTGCAATTGCAGAAAAATACCTGGTCCATTAGAAATACATTGCCAATCCCTGGGTTAGAAGCTGGTGCTGATTGCATCTGCTTTTATGGTCCTAGGCAGGATTTCACAGCTGCTGGATCCTTTGTGAGGTGAGGCTGTGTTTCCCTCACAAGGTGAGCTGTAGCAGGTCCAAATAAGAGCCGTTCAGGACCTAAGTTCTGTTAGGATTACGTTTAATTTATCAGTCAGAGTTTAGAAGTCAATGAGAGTTCCAATCAGTGGTGCCTGGGAACATCCCCAGGCTGGCTTGAAGCTTGGAGGATCAGCTGTGTGTTCCTCAATGGCCTTGTAAAAATGCTCGCCTGTGTCTGCAGCACAGGAAAGTTCAGGATGTAAGGCTGGAGAGTTTGGCTGGCAAGCAAGGGAATGGATTTGTTTTCCAGGCATGTTGTAGGGAACAGTGACAGCACGAGTTCTATACCAAGCTTGTCTTCTACCTGTGTGCCCTCCACCTGCCTCCACTGCTGTTCCTCACCTCCTGTGAGCAAAACTGCAAGTGCTCCACAGCAGCAAATAAAAAAAAGAAAACAAGTGGCTGCAATCCAGTGGAGATTCTGCATTTACTTTCCCTTCATGGAGAGGAAAGCTTGTGGAGTAGGAGGCTTTGAGATTTTTGGTTTGGAGGTGATACTGTGTGTGGGAACGCTGCTCGTTCCCTTTGTGTTTCTCAGTTCTCTCACCCTTTTGCCAAAGGAGCTTTTTCCTTTTGATAGGCAACCTGAGAAAGAAATAAAACAAGAGCAGTCCTTGACCCAGTCTAGTGAAGGATCCCTGGAGGGAGTAGCCAAGGAGCTGGAGAAGGAGGTCGAACAAGACAAAACGCACTCACTGCAAGCAAAGGAGGAGAAAATCCAGCAATTCCAAGAGGAAATGAGGCTACGGGAGGAGGAAGAAACTCAGAAGTTTTATGAGCAAAAAGAAAAATCCCTCAGGTACTCTTTTGTTTTTCCTATTTCTCCTCCTGAGTCTTTCCCAGGTGTGATTCATTGCTGGTGGCAGCAAGTTTGTGCTGTGTTATAGGCCACCGAGAAACAGGAGCTGCTTTGTGGAGCTGTGGGTGAAGGAGGCAAGAATAGAGCTCTTGTGGTGGAAAGGAACATGGGGCTCCATCCTGACAGTGGCAGTAAGGATCTGCACATCCTGAAATGGGCAGTGGTCTGCTCTCAGTGCTGCCAATGCTCAGAGCGGAGTACAGCCTGCCTGAGGAAAGCTTTCTCCCTCGTAACAGGCAAGAGAGCATCTTCCTTGTGTCCTGTCAGAAGAGCTATGATTCGAAACACATGCAACTTTCATAGAGCTGTGAACTTGTCTCTTATTGTTAACCTGGGAGAAGTTTCTAGTTCACTGCTTGGAGCTTTACCACCTGGCAGACTTTCAAATCTTGGTCTAAGTGGTAGTAATAGGGCTGGAAATTGGGGCATTAGAGAAGATGAGGTTACCCCAGAGGAACTATTTGAAGCTCTGGTACTGCATGTATTACAGGAGGACTTCCAAACAAGACTTTAAGGAATAGGGCATGGATTTCTACATACAAAACCCAGCCAATGCAAGAAGATCTAATGGCAACCCAGGGAGCAGAACAGCAATAGGAATGGTGTCCTCTGTTCTGGGGGACTTTTCTCTCAAGACTTGTATTATAAACATCAGGGCCACCCCAGATAAGCTCTTAGCAGCACACAGGCAGCCAGAAAAGGTTGCCTTGACATGAAGCACTGTGGGGATGCTGCCTTGGGTGCAAAAGAGGACAAAAACTGTACCTGAAGGGAGAAATGTCTAAGCAGTGGGAAAAAGGGTGTTGTGCAAAAGCATGAAGCTTTATACTAATGCATCCAGCTACCTTAGCTGGGAATCTGCCTCCATTTCATAGAGTTGATTTTTACATACCTGGGAAAAAAGTGCCACCTATGATGACAGTATAGTGAGCCTTTAAAATACACCACAGGAGCTTGATGCTTAAGGGCTGTGTCTCCTGTACCAGCAGCCAGACTGTGAAGGTATGGAAGGGAATTAACTGTCTGGAACCTTGGGAGTGCATCTCTCAGGCAGGTGCAGTGAGTGGGAGCTGATCTGCGTGCCTTGGGGAGGTGGTTTGAAGACATTAGAGCTTCCTGAACCTTTTATTTTTTTCCCCTCTTTTTTTCTTCCTCCTGGTTGCTCATCTCTCAGGACACTGAAAGAGGATTTGGCAAAGGTTTGTGAGGAGGAAGAATTACGTGTGAGAAAGGAGGAAACTGAAAGACTCTCAAAGCTGCGAGCCACCATCACCTCTGAGACTGAGGCAGAGAAGGAGAAGATAAGGTGAAAAGTTTTTCCACAACAAGCAGGAAGCTGCCATCCTTAGGGACATAAATTGTGGGTTTGAGAGAGAAGCATCTTGCATGCCATCAGCATCCACTTGGGGTTCTTTAGCCAGCCTGAGCTTCCTGTAGCTGCTGCCTTGCCCTGTTAGAAAGCTAGGAATCATGAGGACCCAGCTACGATGCTGTTTGCTGTTTATTTCCAAGGTCTTTGCTGTTCAAAGTGTCCATTGGTTCTCAACTTCTTCTGGGGTTTTCACGTCTGATCTTCTGAGCTCTGGTTCCTCAATGGAGCCCAGTGTTAAAGTACCAAATTCTGACTGGCTCCTCTGTTCTTGTTGTAACCCTACCAGGGCAGAGCAAAAGCTGGCACTGCAAAAACTAAGAGAAGAGTGGGAATCCCTGCAGGAAATGGAGAAGGAGAACTTGGAGAGGAAGAAGCAGCTTGCTTTGGAGAAAATGAAGCTGGAAATGGAGGAAGCTCAACAGAAAGAAACAATCAGGCTAGAAAAAGAGAAGGAACAATTCCTAAGGGAGCTTAAGGAGAGATTAGAAATGGAAAAGAAAAAGGTGAGACTCTTTTGTTACCAACTAGAGCCAGACCCTTGCTGTTTATGCTGACCTGACTTGCACTGCAATGCTGAAGTTAAATAAGATTAAGTAACACCTGCATGTGCTTTGATAATGACTACGTTAAAACACAAGGGAAAGATGTTTGGCATGCTGGTAGAGCTGTGATTGGGCTGGGGATGCTCCCCTTGTTTTGTTACAGGGGGGATTAAATAGTTGTTTCAGTGGCCACATTGCATCTGAAGGAAAAAAAATATTGTTCTTCTTGGCCAAGTGAAAGCAAACTACCTTATCAGGCTAGAAAACCTCTTGGGTGTTGCTTTAGCACTCCGGAAGGCTTGAGGTTCTTGAATAGAGGCAGCTGATAGTCTTTCCATGGGATGGCATGTCTGAGATCCACTGGGATCTTCTGGAAGGGAAAACGTCCAGAGAGCATACTGTGCATTACTGTGCATTACTGTGCATTACTGTGCATTACTGTGCATTACTTGTTTTGAAAGGGATTCACTGCGCTTTTGCTGCTTGTGGATAGAAGTTAATTGCAGCTGCACCTGGTGTGGCGTTGTCCCTGTAAATGAAGGATTGTCAGCAGACTGTTTGGCTTGTCTTCCTGTAGGCTGCAGAGGAGCTAGAGAAACAGTTTGCAACTGAACTCCAGCAGCTGAAATCTGCAGCAGAAGAGAAGCATCGGAAGGTAAAAGATGGTGTCCCCAGAATGAAAATTGCTTTTTCATCCCACTCCATTTCCAGGTGTGGGCAGGGTGGGTGGCATTAATTTTTTTCTACTTCCTAAACATGGTTCTGGTCTGGCTCAGTATTTGGGCATGTTCCAAGTTAGAGGGTGGTGGGACTGTACACGCTGATCTTTGCCATGTTTCTTGATCTCTGTAGGAGGACACTGGAGAGATCTTGTAAGAAGGGTGACAAGTCTCTGTGGGTGGTTTTCATGGCAGGTCACTTCCAGCCTGCAAACCCAGATAGCGGAGGCACAGAGGAGTGAGGAGGCTTGGTTGCGTGAAGATTTGCAGAGAGCAGAGGAGAAAGTGCAGCAGAAATCATACCAAGTAGCAGAATATGAACGTGAGGCAAGTATTCGTCTTGGATGCTGAGAGTTCTTTGTTCTCCATTGATGTTTGGTGAGGTCTGAGATGCAGAGTCCCCTGCCCAGGGGTGACAGTGGTGCGCGCTGGGGAAGGGACAGCAGCATCTCCTTTCACAAAGTGCTTTTTTGCTACTATCTAGGCTGTGGCCTGATCCCACTTGCAAGGTTCTCAGTCCTTCTGTTCGTGTGGGAAGCTGCTCTCTTGGGGAGCCAGTGCAGTGATTCAGTGAAGCCTCTTTGTGTCATCATTGCAGCTCAGTGAGCTTATGAGTGAGAAACGCCATGAAGTGGAAAAAGATCATGAGAGGAAAATGGAGAGGATGAAGGAGGAGCACCAGGAGGTCCTAGCAAGGATTCGGGATCAGTATGAAGAGGAGGTACTTCTGGGGAAGTGCAGTGGACTGGGAGATCACTGTTGGTCAGCTGGGCTGGCACTGCTGCTTGCCAACTCTGCTTATCTCAGCCACTCCTAGAACTGGGGCATCTCATACGTTTTAGTGCTTCTGCTGCTATGTAGAGCCAACTGAGGCTCAGGTTATGAGGTTAACCTGTCGAAGCATTCTGTGCAAGCAACTTCCACGTGCATTTGTGGACTTCTGTATTTAGAGAAGCTTTTTGATGGTTTTGTAGTTGCCTGTTCTGGAAAGCTTCCTGTCACACAGTCAGCAGTGTATGACAAAGCCCTATCATGGGTCATTTCTTCTTTCCTGAGCCATCTTCATAATGATATTGTGCCTACAAGCAGCAGGCTTTAATCTTGCTGAAATTGTTATTTGCTAAGGACATGTTGTGTGATGAGCTGGTTATACAGAGCGTGTGTCCTTTGTGTTCATGGTTGCTGAAGGGTTTCACTCGGCCGCCTTTTCTCGTTTGTATTCTGTGACAGGAAAGAAAGCAAAGAGCAGAGCTGTTTGAAGGCCTGCGAGGTGAGATGGCTCGCCTCCGACAGCTCCATGAAGCGGAGGTGAAAACTCTGCAGGCAGAGCTGGATGAACGTCTGACTGCACTGCAGCACAGGCATGGGGAGAAGGTGAGGAGAACCCTGCTTGGCAGTTTGGGACTTGGCTGCTTGGGTACTGTGACACCTCCGTGCATCTGCCACCCTCTGTAGCCAACAGAAATACAATTGGCAGGTCATTCTCTCCTGGTGGCAGAGCTCTGCCTGGTGGGTGAGGAGCTTGTGCCATTCACCCTTTAAGTTGACATTTCTGTGCAGGAAAGAAGACTCCAGGATTCAGAAAATGAGCTTGAAATACGTGCAAGGAACATTAAAGCGAGATCAGTGCAGCTTCTTAGCCAGGTGAGTCAGCTGTGTTGGGCTTGAGACATTTCCTTGCCTGAGCTACTCCCCTGGCTGCTTCCTGGCTGGGTTGTATTTGCCACCCAAGTTACCAGGTTTCAAGATAAAACTTCTGTTGTGAGGGCTAAGTGTTCTTAGTAGCACAGTCTCACAGTTAGTGGTATTTGTGGTGAAAGTCAGTGCCTTGGCAGTGCTCCTCTGTTTTGGGAGGCAGTATATGAATTCTGTCACTTACAGGATGGGATGAAGCAAAACAGAGAACAGTGTCAGGTAATCTTGAATTATCTTGAAAATTAGGCCTGACCTCTGTATTTCAAGTGTTGTTGAGCATCAGCAGTCTCCTCTACTGGTATCTCTATGTTCTCATAGTCACCTGCTTTTTCTGCTGTGTCTAGGAGGAGTCTCTGAGAAGGAAAAAGCAGCAGCTGCTAGATGAAGACAGACGGACTGAGCGAGAAAGAGATGTATGTATGCCTTGGCTCTGCAAGGGATCTGTGCTGCTTTGGTTTTGGGGATGGAAAGGGGAACGCACTAGAACCATGGCTTAAAAAATGAAAGTTATGTTGTTTTCTAAACTGTGAGTTTGCAAGTTCCCTCCTGCCCCTTTGGCTTGACCTGGAGAGTTCCTGCTGGGAGTTTGGTTAGCTCAGAGGTATTTCCCAAAAAGAGAAGGCAGTCTTGTTCCCCTGGGATTGACGTGTGATGTGTGTTTGTAGCTCTGGGACCTCCCATGAACTGTGCAGATAGCAGAAGTCTCTTGCATGCAGTGTGCATTCACTCCATTGTCAGGGAAGCCTGAGAGATTTTTTGCTTGTTTGTTACCAGGAAGCTGCTTTAGCTTCTCAACTCCGCCTGGAGGAGAATCGGAAGGAGCACACCAACCTTCTTGAGTCCATCTGGCAACTGCGTAAGGCTCTTGAGGAGCTCCAGGACCAGAAAGCTGAGCTGGAGGCCCAGGTGGATTTGCTGCAGACTCGAAGCCAGAGGCTGCAGAAGCGTATCAGGTGTGTGCCTGTGTGTGAGAGATTTCCTCTAGTGCTCAAAATCTACCTGGTTACTGGTGTTGTCTGCAGGTGTTGCACGAGCAGTTCAGCTGTGCCTAAGAGCAGTGGCAGTAGGCTGTCTTAATGGTCGTTGTCAGACTGCTTTGCTACTGTCTGATGTACCCCAGCCCTGGGTATAGAAGTCTGTATCTGCAAACTGCTATATGAAGTCTCTTATTTGTATTTATTCCTGTATGTGGGGAAAAAAAACTGTTTGAGACAGCAGCTGTAAGCTGTTGTGAATCCTTGTCGTCAGCATGTTTCTGTGTTCCCACTTGTCTTTCATGTCTGGCCCTTTCCTGTCTGGAATCTGGAGGTTGCTTTGGACACTTGCTGGTAGTTTACTGGGCTAGGAGGACCTGCAGTCTAATGAATTGCTGCCATTGTTGCCTTTTCATGTGGCAGTGAGCTTGAGGCAGCTGTCAGGAGCAAGCAGGAGACTTTGAAAGAATTGGAGGCAGAAGAAAGTGCGGAGTCTCCCAGAAGGAAAGCTGAGCTCCATGTTGAAGACCTGAGAGAAACTATTCATGCTGTGAGTAGAGCTGTCTGCAAAGGCATTTGCCTCGTGAGATCTGAGGCTGTAACTTTGTGTAAATTCCAGCCTTGGCTCTTTCTGCCTAAGCTCGTTTCAGATGCGTTGATGCATTCTTCTTTGCCAGAAGACATCAATGTTTTGTACTCCTTGTTGCTTTCTGCCTATTATTAGGGGAAAAGGAGCGTGGGATGCCTGAGTGCCCTTGAAGTCAAAAGCAGGACTTGAGTGGGAGATGGAAATGTCTCTTACTTAAAATACCACACAACAAAATATCCCCAGCACTGGTCTTGGATCAGGGCAGTAATACAGTGATGTCATCCAGACATCCATTTTTGCCCCTAATTTGATTCTAATGGGATCCTGGGGTTCAATATCTATCAGTGTTTGAAACGTTTCCACTCTTCAGCATTCATCCAGAGAGCCTGCTTCCCCACCTTCTCAAAGCCATGATGACAGCAACTTCCAGTTTGATCAGTGAGTATCTGTGTACCAGCTACTTCAGAAAATGTGGTTCTCTTGTGTTTGTTTTCTTTTTCCTTGGGTTTTAGAAGCAGATGTTTTTGCTTGAGTTTTATATGCATTGCACATACAGTTTATTTTGGGAGGGATCTGCATGAGGCTTGCTGGATGGAAAGGCCAGCACAGAAGGCCAGAATTGTACCTGTTTCTTATAGAGTCAGGAGCTACATCTCTGCTGAAGGAATCTCCATCAGAAAAGCCAAGGAATTCCTGGTGCGTCAGACCCACTCCATGAGGAAAAGACACACAGCACTGAAAGCTGCAAAGCAGCAGTGGCACCAAGATGTGCAGAAAGCACAGGAGGTGGTGCAAGATCCTGACAACTCCCAGCTCCTGGAGGGAATGCGCAAGAACCTGGAAGAGGTGAGTCACTGAGCACTGGCAGGCATCCATCCCATCAGCAGGGACAGGTTCACAGTTGTAGCTCTGCAGCAGCTTCGCTCTTGCTTGAAAACTGATCCCTGAGTACTTGTCAGTTCTGCTGATACATCGACCAAAGACAGGGAAAAGGTCTTCATTTCCTTCATTGACAGAGCACTTCTATTTGCAGATTTTTGCTGCAAAGCTGTCGACTCTGTTGGATGCAGGATTGTGACACCCCTTTTTCCATGGAGCGATGTTGCCTTAGCCTTGTTCTTTCCCTTCTGCACGTTCCTTTTTGTTGCTCTGCGGGACTTGGGAGCAGTTTAAATCCAGCAGCATGATTTCTCGTGCCAAGTAGAAATGAGATGGTGAAAATCACCGTGACCACTAAAGTAGATAATTTCCTGTTGTTCTTGGGTAATTTTCCTCCTTGGCATTGCTGTTTGATCCACTGCAGGAAGCCAAGCAGCTGGACAAGATGAAGTCGGCTATGCGGAAAGGACAGGTGCTGCTGAAGAAGAAGGAAGAGAAGCTAAGCCAGCTGGAGTCGTCCTTGTTGGAGGAGGTGAGCACAAGCATCCTGCTTGGACCTGCCCAGCTGTGCTCCCAGTTTGCAGAACTGTTGGCCTCCTCCCATAGGCAGGAGTCTCTGCAGAGCTTTTGGCTGTGTTGTGCTTTGAGAGCAGACTGATGGGTCTGTGAGAAGAGTGGGAGAGAGTAGGCGAGACAAAGAGCTGGAGAGAATGACTGTGGTGCACATGATTCACCAGGTCTGAGGTTTGAGATGGAGAGTTTGTCCCATGATTGCAGCTTGCCAGTCAAGGCTACTGGCATCAGGGTTTGAGTTGGTTGGAAAAAAATCTGCTAAATGAGCCCTCAAAGCTTCTTAGATCAGAAGCAAATCTATGTTAACGGTGATATGCAGATTACAGTATAAACTGAACTCCAGTTAGAATTGTTAGATATTTTATTAACTGTCTGTGACTTGGGCAAGATGGCAAGTATTTCCCTTTGCTGATGGCATCTGGGCTCAGCATTAAGCATATGACCCAGAAAGCAACCTGAAAAACCGGCATGATTTTTGCCTAGAGAGAACGAGGGCAGGTCACCTCGTGTGAGGTGGAATCCACTTTACTTTCCTGTTCAGGACAGACCTTGGAATCTGTCCAGCTGTGCTTGTGAGCATGTGGCCTTAGAGCAGCAGTGTAGATGTGAATGCAGAAGACTTCTGGTGGCCGAGCACTTTCTGTTGATGCAAAGAAATGACCCAGCCTGCAAGAGCTATAAGGCATATTTGATGCACAGAACATTTTGACTTCTGCCTGGAAGGGCTGGTTCATGCAGCTGTTAAATTTGGCCTCCAGTGAATGCACGTGCTTCTTTCAGAGGCCACACAGTCTCTTTACTTTTCAAACATTGCTGTTGGAGTCGCAAGACTCTCTTTTCACCTGTTCTGTGCCTGACCATGCAGTCCTGCCTGTGTAGATGAGCTGTAAGCAGCAGTCCAATGGCTTTGCTGTTGCAGAGGCAGAAAGCAGGTTTCATTTGCAATGTTTCCCTTATCAGCTTTCAGATGAAGATACACTAAAGAGTGTTGCATGCAAGAAGATGGTGACTTTTGATCTCAGCAGCTCTGAGGACACAAACAGTATATCCAGTGCAAACGTACATTTGCCAAAGTGTAAGTTTCTGACTGGTTTGATACTCTGTGCTCAATGCTTTTGGCAGTGTCTGGCTTTCCCTTTTGCCTCTCAGTTGTATGTAAGGCTGTTCCTGTTTGTACTCATTTCAGTCTAAGGCAGCTTTGCTATTTATGACTGAGACTGCTCTGTATATAACACTTTGCTTGGAAAACTTATTTCCTGCCTGTAGTGGTGTATGAGAGGGATGGAATCTGTGCATGAACTTGCCTCTTAAATCTACCCTTATTTTTACTGTGGAGTGTAAAACATGGCTTCAGCTGTTCCTTCTCTGCTGCTACGGAGCTGTCATGCTCTGTCAGTGTCCAGGCTTCCTCCTCACATCTCTGTCAGGAGAAGTTGGTGCAGTTTCCCATGTCTGCTGCTTGTGCTATTTGCCTTCTGTTCCTTTAAAATTAATCTTTGTCTCTGGTGCTCTGTCTGTGAGTAGAGACTGATCAAACTCAGCTCACTGTGGCGCAGCACAAAGTGAGTCCTGATAAGGAGACAGTGTCTCCCTCACCTTTCCAGTGATTCCTTTTTTCCCTTCTCTCCTCTGCTAGCTGACCTGCGAACAGAGGTGCAGATTGCCCTACAGCAGGACAAGATCCAGTACTTGACAAACTCTGTGCAGCACATCACCAACGAGCTGAATGGGGTCCTTGGCGTTCTGAGCTCTCTGAACACCCTCCAGCCTCCGCTCCTCACTTCAACACAGGTGCCCCTGCAGGTTCCCTGTGACAGCATTCCTCTTTCTACGTATTCCACCTTGGCAGGATTGCAGGCAGGTGCCTCCTCGAGGCCCTCTGCTGGGCTGTCTGTGCCTGACCAGTGGGCCTGGGGCACTGGGCTGAGCTCCAGCCGCTCCTTCGTGGCTGGGCAGTCAGTGGACCGTTTCCTGGCAGAGAAGTGGCACAAGTACTTTCCAGGTAGGTCTCCTGTCCTTACTGCATCTCACTGTTTGCTTATGACTTCTGGTTTCAGTGCTGCGTGTTCTAATCAGCTCATCATGCCAACCTGTACTGCTGTTGAGAGTAGTGCTAATAAGATCAAGAACGAGAACCTCATTCCTGGTAGTACACTGTATGTCCAACCATGTTATCCTGCCTCTAGAAAAGTTTGGCCTCTGACATACACAGGAGAAAAGTTACTAAAAAAATGAGCAAAAAGGAATCCAGATCTTGCAGCAGCCTCCCGTGGATTGGAGATAGGGTTCACCATCTCAGCTTCCTTTATAACAACACTGAGCTCTTGGCAGATGGCTCCACTTGTAGGGACGGCGTGTCCATAGCAGGAAAGCAGATGCATTCAGATTATAAAGCCTGTTGATTTTTTCAGTGAGGGAGACCCTCACTAAATTGTGTATTTAATGTATTTAATGTTTGTTTCCCAGGTGGGTTCCCATCATCCAGTGGAAGTTCTGGTCCTTCAGACAACAAGCTGGGATATGTACCTGCAAGGTGAGTGTCTTTTTGAGTGTTCTTTTTTTTTGTTGTTGTATTGCCTTTATTTGCCTGGAATAAGTTTTAAATTAGGTGATTTTGTTTCTTACCTACTTGTTCAGTGAAGCAAATTAGATATTAAGAAGATAAATTAGATACCATTGGTTACTCACTGCCACATGCCTTGAGACAGCAGCTTTATTTCAGAAGCCAGAGCTGTGCAGCTAACGCTGATCTCAGGAGCAGAATCCAAGGGTGCCAGCTGTCTCCAGGCAGAACTCTGGCTGGCTCTGCTGTGGCAAGTGTCACTGGAGGGGTGACACTGCAGGCTGCCTTCCAGCTGAGCCTTTCTGATGCTGCACAGGCTGAAGGAAGGACAGCAGCTAGGTGGGATGGGGGGGCTGTTGCTGCTCCAGCTCTCCTTCGTGATGTGGCTGTGCAGAACAGTTAGAGCTCAGAAGAGGTTGCTTGTTAACCTTGGCTCTTTCTTTAGCTATGCTTTTTCTCATCTCTGAGTTTGTTTCTGTCTAAGCCCGTTTCCCACTTCTGTCTTTTTCTCTCCCAACAGTGAGCAGATGCGCGTGTTCCAGAGCCGTGAGTCAGACAAGATGAGTATTCAAGGAATGATTGAGACCAACAAGAAATGGCTAGAAGACTTCAAGAGTGATTCAAGGATGTATCCTTTGCCTGGGTCTGGTCTCTAATTGTAGTCCAGCTTCCTGCAGCAGGCAGGAGGAAACAGCAGGAGGTGAATGAATCAGGAGCCACTAAAGGATTGAACAGCAATTTTGAAGCCTTAGCCTCTATTTTAGTGTCCAGTTCTGCAAAAGAATGTTGTTTAGCAGTTGGAGCACGAGTGACCTGGTTTTTCCATCTTTGAGCTGTGCTTACCTGAGAGATTCTCCTTCCCTTCTCCCATTTGTGTTGTGAAACACAACAGTTGGAGACAGTAATGTGAGAATTTTGCCTGCTGCTGTAGGCATGCGGTTGGTGCAGTTGATACAGGCAGCCTGGTGTGAGGGAGCCATGAGCACAGCCAAAGCTGTGTGTGGCAGCTGTCACTTGCAAGGTGAGGTGGCCACACGGCTGTGCAGGGAGGCCCTGGGCTCCCTGGTGGAGTTGCCCTGTCTAACTCAATTTGGAGACGTATAAGTGAGTGAAACCTGATGGGAATGTTTCCAGGTTTGTGTTGTAACAGCATTATGTGGGGCTGGAAGTATCTCCTTTGCAGTGTACACTGATATTAGCAGCAAATCCCTCAGGCCCTCTGATAGCACACGCTGTCCTGAGCGCAGCGCTCCTTTGAATTCCATAATCCCCCTTTAATTCCATTTGACTTGGATGCAGAGGGCTGAAGGCAGCACGTGTGTGTGAGGCTGGTTCCTGCCCCTCAGTACCTGCCCTGTCTCCTGGCTGTGCTCATGCCTGCTAATCTCTTGTGTAAGCCATGCTTTTCCTTAACCCAGCTGTCAGACCTCTCTTTCCAGGCGCAGAGAAGCTCCCTGCCAGCAGCTCCAGCCTACTTCAGCTAGGGCTGGATGAAAACAGACAAATTAAAGTGTACCGTTACTGAAAGGTGGGACTTGATGTTTTCAGCCCTCAACTCTGGGCACAGGACCTGGAGAGATGATAGCTGGGGGCTGTGCAGTCTCTCTAATGGTACGGTGGGTTTTGGTGATACCCAGCCATCTCTGTCTTTGTGCTGTGCCCTTGAAATAAAGTCTCTTTACAAGAGAGTGGAGGGAGGAGGAAGTGAAGTTCCCAGGTGGATTCTTCTAATCCTGTAATGTGTCCAAATATACTTTATAGACTGTTTAATCCAGTGGTGAAATATCAGGGCTTCAATAAATCAACAGTTCTCTCATTAGTATTCTAGAAACTGTGAGACATAGCTGTGAATCATGGAGAACTTTGAGTAACTGGTCAAGGGGGAGGACATGAATCTAGCTGAGACTTTGCTAGAGGAAATGTATCAGGAAATGAGCCCACACTGATGCCCAACAAATGCTTAATTACAGATGAGCCAAGTCATCTGGCTTCTGTGGCGAGTGCATGAGCAGGGGAGAACGGGCAGCAAAATGGCTATAGAATTGGGAAACAGCAGATTTTGACTCTGGGAAATGTTCCTGTCTTCTGGTGTGGAAACAATAGGAACAAAACCAAGGGTGGTTTTCATGGCAGATATTGTAGGAGAGAGTTCCCTGCGTCCTCCTCTTTCTGCCAGCCTGGCCAGAACTGCGCAGCATAACTGTGCTATGGGAGCTCAGCTCATGTATTACAAATGTGCTGATGGCAACACGGAGCAGGGATGGCAGGAGAGCGAGGAGCAGTGTCTGCTGGTGCAGGCAGTGCTGGGGAACTCAGCCTAGTGTGACTGCGAGGAGACAAAGCCCCATCTGCATCCTTCCATGCCCTGGGGAAGGGGATCTGGAGCTCAGCAGCTGGGGCTCTTCCTGCACAGCAGGGCTGCGTGGCAGACCTGAGCGCTGGCCTTGCTGCTTGGAGCAGCTCTCCCAAAACCTCGAAACAAGGCTGGGAGCAGGGCTGGGGGGTTGGCACACGCTGTGCTCCGATGTGAGCTCACACCTCAGCAGGTGGCTGTGGTGCTTTGGATGGGCTGCATTCAGAGCACAGCCACGTCCTGCTGCCATGCAGAGGTCGGCGGGGGCTGCTTGAACCAGAGGGGTGGGAGAAATCAGGCCGTGCTTTCATACCACTAAGTGGGGAAAGTGGTATTTGGTTGTTTTATCAGTCATTCCTCCGAGCTGACTTTAAATATTTAATGCTGTAAAAAAACGCTGTACCATTTGCTATTTTGTCTGATGAGAAGTCTGCATTTCAAGGGATCCCATCTGTGAGAAATCAGCTTCAAAGTCGCTCTCTCTGGAGACAGCTGATGCGGGGAGGATGGCGAAGTTGCTGCTCTTCACCCTTCAGTGCTGTTTGTGCTTCTCAGTGGCTGATGATGTGCAGCAGAGTAAAGCACAGCTCCCCCTTCCTGGCTGTTGTGCACTGGCACAGCATTGCAGCGATTTGTGCTGTGAGGGTGGCAGGGGAATGTTTACATGCAAATGGAAATATATTTTTGATGAACATTTTAAAACTCTCAGGAAGAATGTCCGTGTTTGCATTTATTTTTATTCTTTTGGGGCTGGACTCCTCAATATTTTCTAAATTCCTCAGCCAGCCTTTGTCCTGGGATCTTCTGCAGTGGGTAGCATCACGCTCGTGTCCTTGCTGAAGAAATCCCAGCTGGGCTGAGCTGGGAGACCTCGTGTGACCACAGGGAATGGCAGCTGTGTGGGGCAATCCCTTCTCCATAGGAAGGGATGGATGGAAATGCAGATTTCCTGTCTGCTGTCAGATTATGCCAATCCCTGCCTAGAGGGATTTTGCTTTTGGTTTCCCAGCTCTTGGTGGAACACGTGGCAGAATCTCTAGTTATATTTTGGACTCCTGGCTCCCTGAAGGTGGGGGGAGGCTGTCAGCACGGTGGATGCTGCACCCAAAGCCGTGCAGCTGAGCTCAGGCTGCATTCTGAAAAGCATAGATTGGTGGTGTGGGGGAAGCGCCTGCTTTCTTAGCAATAATACATTTTGAAACATGTTTATTCTTCCTGTTGAAACTTGTGATCGCTGTATCTGGTTTTGTAAGCAAATTAAATCAACACGAGTCTGTTTTGTATGGGGTGACGTTTGCGGCTTTATTTTTGCTTGCTGAGCCACCCAGCTGTAGTCTCAGATAGCCAGCTCGTACTTACCTTTCACATCTTCCCCTCACTTTTCTCCAGGCTGCTTCATGTTTTGTCTTGTCAAGGTCATCTCTGGCAATTTTTAAGACCACTTCAGCTCGCTGTAGCTTTATTACCATTATTCTATTAAGCATCTGGCCACGGTAGCAAACGCAGGGGCAGATAGAAAGCTGGAAAACAAAACTACAAAAGCAATTCTTCACGGGGCTCTCAGCCAGCAGGACAGCTTTTCATGGGCTTGTATCCTGCCCTTTTCATAAAACTGTCATCCAGACTCATTACAATGGTTGTCTCCTTTCTGAGCTTCGTGTCAAGGCTGCGAGCCGGGCTGTGTGCCTGCAGAGCAAGGCCAGCCCTGCGGGAGGTGCAGGAGGGCTCCGGGTGCTCTCCTGGCTGCTTTGGCTCTGCCCTGGCTCCCTGGCATGTGTCGCCCTGCTGGGGAACGGGGCCTGGCTCTGGGGCTGCTCTTGGATAAAGCAGATTGGGTTAAAAGTGGTGAACTTGCAGCTGCTGTTTGAGGTCCTGTGCTGCTGCGTCGCTGCGTCACGTTCTCACCACCAAGGAGAGTTGGATCTGTGCTGTCATAGAATCACAGAATCGCAGCAACCTGAAGATCATCCAGTCCAACCCCCCTCCCATTCCTATCAGTACCACAAGCACTAAACCATCTCTTGCAGCTCCTCATCCAGGCGCCTCTTGAACACTGCCAAGGATGGTGACTCCACCACCTCCCTGGGCAGCCATTGCAGCGCCTGACCACCCTCTGAGAGAAAAAGATTCTCCTCATGTCCAACCTAAACCTCCTCTGGTACAACTTCTGGCCATTTCCTCGGGTCCTACTGTTTGCCTGGGAGAAGAGGCCAGACCCTTTTTCATCACAGCCTCCACTGTACAACAGGAAGTTGTACAGTGCAGTGAGGTCTCCCCTGAGCTCCTCTTCTCCACACTGAACAATCCCAGCTCCCTCAGCCGCTCCCCATAAGATTTGTGCTCCAGACCCCTCACCATTTTCGTTGCCATAGTCCTCTGCCCACAGTTTGGTCCTTTCCCTTCCCACCACCTGCCAGCAGCCGTGGGGCTCCACAATCCGCTCTTCCCTCTGCCTGTTTGCTCCTTTGGGACTTTTCAAGGTGGTCTGGTTAAAAACTCAGCTTGTCTTGTCTCTAAACGTTGGAGTGAAGGCTCCGGTGCTGGGAGGCTGCAGGTGTGTAACGGACAATGACAGAAGTGCTAGAGAGAGGGAGTTCAGCTCCTGCCCTTGATTTTCCACCTCTGACTTCAGCACAGCGGGAAATCCCAGGTTCAGATGGATGGGGATGGGAGAACTCTGACAATTGTAATATGATTTGAGGCTCCTGGTACAGCAGCAGCAAGACGCAAAGACAAATGTGGTGCTGGGATGCACGAGGCAGGCAGACACACGGAAGGGCTGTGCTGCTGCTGTGCACAGCTGTGCTCTGCATGCAGGGGGCTGGAAGGAAGGAAGGCAGTTGCTGCTGTGCGTGCTGGGGAGTGAGGGGAAGCTACTGAAGCTGTAGGACAGATGAGGTGCAGGAAGAATCTGCTGGCCGTGTAGAAATGGTGGGTGATGGCTAGATGCACGTCCTTAAGAGCAAAACACAAACCACCCCCGGACCTTGAATTGCACGTTGTCCTGCTCAGCTATAGCAAATACGATGCCACAGACCTCAGCATGCTGTTGAGCCCATGTAATAACTGAAGCAATCAAGTTTCTTGGTTCCCTACAGCTCTTCTGAAGCAGCTGCTGGGCAAAGAGCACGGGATGGCACTGAGAAACCCAAATTCACATCTGGACTCTGCAGGCCTTTTGGGTGCGGGAGGCAGTGCTGTCATCCTGCTGAGAAGCAATCCAAAACAGAGCCATGGGTCTGGGTGTGTGAGTGTGCATAGGTCTGCACAGGTACATAAGGAAGAAGAGGATTTGCTTTTCCTGGAATGCTGGTGCTGCATACGTTGGAGAAATTCAACGATTAGAAGAGCAAGAGGACAGAGCGTGATTACGGTGCCAGGATGAACACAAGCTGTAAGCTCATTAAGGAGCTTGGAATCGGCCTGCTGGAGGAGGGGACGCTTCAGTCACTGCTGCTCAGAGACCACAGTGCATCACTGCCAGAGCTTTGGCTTCCCAGGACGGTGGGAGACTCTCAGAGACCGCAGTCATGCTGGGGACCTTGATGACAGCACTGTTTTTTGTGGTGAGAGCATTTGGACAGGTGAGTTGGAGCTGGCAGTAGGTAGGATTTAATGCTTTTTGTCTTATTTCTAGGAGCGTGGGGGTTGTTATCTTGTCAACTCTAAGCTGGTTTGAGCACATTTGAATTTCCGTGGCTGTAGCAAAGTAGATCTAACAGCTGCTTTGCAGAGAACTGCAAAGTGCAGGTACTTAGGCTTTCCAGTCTGGTGCTTTGGTGCCGCAAATGGGGAGAGAATCTTGGAGCAATTTGGGATTGGAAGGCAGGAAAACCACCCCTGCTTGCTGCTGGGGGCACCTGACCCTACAGCTGGGGGCACCTGAGCCCTTGGAGCTGGGGGAAGGGGATGAGGATTCCACATTTGTCTGGTGGGACACATCCTAAAGCCCTCCTGAGCAGGAGGATCACCTGAACTTAACACAGTGCCACACAGCATCAGCTTTATCCATAACATCTGTGTTTGCTTTCACGACTTGCTTAGCTTTAGTTCTTGTCATTTAAGAGCTCAGCAGCACAATCTGCTGCCTCTGTATCTTTCCTTCCTGACCTGCTGCTTGTGACCCTGTAGTCATCTCTGATGGCAAGCATGATGTCAGGTGGAGGAGGAGGAGAGGGCAGCAAGCATTCTCGTGGGCTGTGAGTCCCATGCTGGCTGTGCACTGTGGGACCAGGACCTGTGAGAACACCCAGTGAGAACTGCCCATCTGGTGCCAGGATGACAAGCTGAGCATCGCCACTGTTAGCAAGAGTGTGATCAGTGTTGATGTGCACGCAGGAGCAGCTCTTCCTGTTGCTCATCCGCTTCTCCCCCGTTCTCTGACCTGCTGCAAATCCTCTCTCCATCCAGCTCGGGACCAGCCTGTTCCAAGAAGAGCCCCTGCCATACCTTGTGTACCAGCCCCTGCCCTGGCAGATCCAGTGTGTGACACAGAGCCGCCGCACCAGCCGGGACAGCGATGTGAGTGCTGGATTTAGCTGGAGAAGGCAACTGGTAGGGAGGAGAGGGCTTGTTTGCTGGCCCTTGTGCAGCCCTAGGCCTTTCTCTGGCAGTGCAGTGGTAGCGTGGGGCACCTGTTGTACCCAGAGAGTGCTGCCAGGCTGCCTCACTGCTCTGTGCTGGCAATGGGAGGCCCTTGGTTGGGATGTATGGAAAGTAGGGTGCCTGGCATGCATGGGGCTGCAGCGAGGGCAGGGATTGATGCAGAGCTCAAATAAAGAGCAGCAAACATCTGTTAACCAAACAGTCTGCTTGGAACAGAAGGTTTGGGCAAGGGGGAGAGATTTGTTCTTTCCCTTGAAAGACAGAGAATGGGGTAATTCTGGGAGGCAGGGCATGCTGAAAAATGTAGGATGGTGTTTGTAGCCAAACTCAAGCTGTTATCTTACAGAGATGAAGATGTTCCTTAGCAGACCTGGCATCCCAGGGGCTGCAGCACTGTGATTGGAGCTAGAGGTGAGGAAACCAACCCAGTCAGTCCGGTTCCATGCTGGTTTGAAACGCACCCCTAGTGAGGTTAGGCTGTGCCAGCATTCATCCTAAGGTGTTCCTAGCAAGTCTTGCAGATCAGATTTTTGATACAGAGCTTTCTGCTTCTCCTCGGAGGACTTCTCACAAATGCAAATTAATTAATCACTGCTCTTTAGGTTCTTTAAGGGAACAGTAAGTATTTTCAAGTTTCCCAAAGGGAATGGATAGCAGACAGCTCAGTGGAGCCCTGTCCCATTCAGTGCATCCCCGCCGGCTGGAAAGGACTGCTCCCACTGACTGCATTTCTGTTCTGTGCCTTTCTAGAGAGGCAGGAGCTCACGTCACAACAGCATCTACTCGATTTCTGGAGATAGAGGTGAGTGTGGAGCTGGGGGGGAGGCAGTGCTGACAGCACAGACAGCAGCATGTGTGTGTTTGACCCCTGCCTCCCCCTTCCTGTGCAGCCTGCCCCATTGGAACACGTGGCTTGGGCTGTCCCCCACTTTCCCTCCTCCCTGCTCTTCTGAGACCTCCAGCACTCAGCAAATAGGATTTGTCTGCTTCTATTCTCAGTGCACCCCGTCCAGTAATCGGATGAAGGCAGGTGCAGCGACGCTGGGGTGGGTGCTGGTGCTCACCCTGCACGAGTTACACAGCTCTGTCTCACCTGGCCGCTGTGCTGGGCTTTTCATTGCTGGGATCAGATGCAGGTCCCCTAGGGCTTCCTGGGCTGGCGGTGGCACTCGTGTTGGTTCAGCAGTGGGCTGTAATTGATGGGCTCTGTCACTGCTGAGCCTCGCCGAGCTCCTGCACCCGGTGTATTTCTCACAGAGCTGTCAGCAGCCCGCACAGCTGGGGGTTGGGCTCTGGAAGCTCACAGCTCTAAGTGCCCCCAGCGGCTGCCCAGCCTCTGGCGTTTGATTTTTGCAGCGGGCAGGATTTACAGCTGACGATGTATCTTGTTAAGCAGGGCAGGAGGGAGCCGATTCCCAACGTGGACTTTTTTATGTATCTTTTTACTTCGCAATTTCTTTTAGGATGTGAATAAAAATGGGTTCAGGTGACATTGGTGAGTTTATACAGCAGCATCTGGCATCAGGATTTCTGATCGCTGCTCGGGGGGTGCTTAGCGGTGACACAGTCGGTTAAAAGAGCACTGCTGAGTGGCTTTGATTCAGTTCCTGTTGAATTTCACAATACTTCCCTAATGCCACATTAAGCGTGGAGTGGGGAGGGCTCCCATTTATCAGCG